GACGTCCTGAAGAGCCGGAGCAGTATGGTTTAAGAGTCAGCTGCCATTCAAGTTCATGAAGAGTAGACGTTACTTAGTTCGATTCTCATTATGATCCACCTGTCAAACGATAGCCGGGCTCATGGGTAAATCTGCGTATCAAAATATTGCGAAGAGCACCTACGGGTGGTTCCGAATTTCAATGTTTATCACAATAAATCTAGCTATAGGCAGGCGATACTTAGCCATGGATGATAGTACGACTGAACTATAATTAGAAACCCCATAAGGATTTGAGATCGGTACTTTGTTCAAATTTCAATCGAGACTGAAATTGCACAGACCAATCTTTATTTTGTTCACTGGGTATGTAGTCTGGTATTGATAATCCGCCCGTTAGACTTGACCTTTGCATCGGGGGCTCCTGAAGAGAAGATGTTCTTGTATGGGTCATTCGCGCGGATATTACTTCCGGATATAATAACAGAACGACCCAAGGGAACGGAACCAACGATGGCAATGGAAACTTTATGTCGATTTGACTCATGCCAGAAGATATTATAGATCAGGCTCCGAATATCAGAATGTAAATCTTATACATAGATCCGCAGTTCTCGTCGGCAACCACCGAGCAGGTTATTTTGGAAGAAAGAGTAATATTTCTGCCTAACCAAATTGGCCACAATGGGCTTTCGCAATTCAAATGATTCCTGCGGGGTATCCTCTGCCGACAAAACCTCCGAGTCTGCGCCATCCATTGTTCTCTCCACTCGGGTACATAGGTGTTCCTTCGCTCAACGGAAGGATTCGAATAATACTACTACCACGTGTGGTATCTGCTGACCGCTTTTTTCTTACCGGCTTATACGGAGGAATAATATCTCAAAGCCCACACTAGCTGAACGGGTGGATACGCCAGCTACGACATATGGGAACTGAAATTGGTTAGCTGATTGTACACTGTCGAAATGTGGATGCTCTTTACGCGGCATATAATGGATACGAAGGTTCGAGGTCGGTGCCAGCCGGCGCCACCAAAACAAGAAAACAATCCCCTGGCTTTGATTGATTGGCGATGAATCTCGAGTAGATTATCCCGGTGCTGCGCATGACTGGAGACGATCATGCAAGACAAGCAGGATCGTCCCGGACCCAGTTGAAGGGTGTCACTGCGTCGAAGATCGGCTATTGAATACACCGAAGCAAGGCTTTAATGGTTCTATGTACTCCGTACTCTGTATTCCGTAAACCCTTCGTGTACTCCGGAAGTAGACTTCCAGGTGACGTTGGTTATTGATTGAGGCGTATAAGGGGGATATATTTGGAAGTTGTGAAAGTAATGTACACACAGTAAGTTTTCGACGGAGGGTCCGAAGGCGTTAGCCACGGAGTTCTCCGCAGCTGATGCATCCCGAGGCCACCAAACCAAAAAGCCAAGGAAATATCCTGCCACTCACCAAATCCTCTAAAAACAGTACGGAGTATGGATAAACGAAGAGAGGAGAAAAGAGAAGAAAAACACATCTCTAACCGAGCCGTGCCGTCGTGTCGCTTTCGTCGAGGGGGCCTCCTGACGCCAGCGCCTCATGGGCGCAGCAGGGGCCCATCAATCGCCCCCGATCGGCGAGTGGAAAACTTAGTTGCATTGGAGCGGCCAGGTACTTTCGAATCAGCAATTCATTTGTCACATTATAATGAAACTAAGATTGGGGTGCGGGTGAGTAGTTCGATCGCGATCGAGAACATGCGATGTACTCTGTACAGCTAACAGGGGTAACCTAGGCCGCCTCACTACTTGGCTGAATGCTCCAACAACGCAATCATGAATCAACGATTGATCTCACCGGCCTATAATCGCGGGTGATCGCATGATGGAAAAATAACAATGTGATATATCGTAATTGCCCACAGAGCACCCCCACAAATAGCGGAAAAGATATCCAGACTCTAGGGGATTGGCCTCCCAGAATATGCACGACAGCATAGCGCGTCGAATTCCGCCTTATCGGGGATGCAACTTGGGGGGGGGGGGAATCGGCCATTAATTTCTATACTACTCCGTACATGCTTTGAGTAGCTCGAGTTGCTGCACCTGTTGTTGACTGTGACCTGGCCATCCCGTACATTCTGCGTGGCTGGCCGGTTTTGCAGGAGCATTTTTCCGTTCTGCAACCGAGAATTCGAGTATGCTACACAAGGGGCGCCCATTCAAAAGAAATTAGATTCGAATCTGCAGAGCGGCAATCGATCGTCCTACTATCCCTCTCCCTGGGAGGATGATCCCTAGCTCTGGGCGTGGTTCTGGCAGGGGCCTCGATGTAACTCAGAGGTCCGATCGACCACTGGAAAGGCAAATATATCCAACATGAACATGCGGAGAGTGAAAGTGGAGAAGGAAATATAATAAATGTTGACTTCAAAGCGTATTGTCCTCTTTCCTACAGAGAGGAAAGCAGACGCAGGAAATCGGGAATCAACGAGTGTAGCGCTGAAACTCTGTCGCGCTCGGGGCTGGTGGGTCTAGAACATGCGCGGCGGATATGATGATGACTGGCATCCTGCTGACCCTCTGGAGAATTTTCAGTCGACTTGGAGAGGGTTCGGGACTGGATCTAGTTTCCGCTAACCAAAAGACTCCCTTCTATCTCATGATATAGAAGCGAATATCAAGCTACTACCATGCTCTTTGAAGGTCCACAGCAAGCTCTGGGACATGTGGATCTACCGAGATCCGATTCCCAGTGCCCTGGAACTGGGTTCTCATAGCCGCTCCCTTTGAATTCCAGAGCTTCACTCGAGATTCACGTGGTATCAAACTTTGGATGACGCCGGGGTGCATCAAACTATCTGTAATATAGAAGGCATCCAAGACACCAGAATGCGAGTTATATGATGTGTATTTTTTCGGTAATTTTGCGCAAGACGCAGGAGTAGCTGATGATGGGCGAGCGCCATTCATCCCTGATCGTATGGAAGCACTATTAGCATTATGTAGATTCAAACCAAACAACGCAGCTTTCAAGGATATTCAATCCTGATTTGACTAAGGTTTTTTAAAAAAAGATTTCGCCACTGCTCCCTCTTGGAATCCGGCGGTGTAAGGCTAACTCTCACAACATTCCAGGGGTTATTGATTTACGCAGGCCTGAGTGTTCTATTTGCGCCCGGACATTAGGCCCTCGCCTCACTCCAAAGTTTGCGACCTTTCGTATAGACTTAACCATCTGCCGCAACAAAAAGGGTTGATCAACATTCAGGGACCGAAAGCGAAAGCTTGAACAGGGTTAAGAGACTGCTCGTCCTGTTATTTCTTTTTAATTTTACTATTTGGGAAATAAAAATCTGACCATTTTCAGAAACTTCATGTTTTTAGTCCTCTCTCAGGTCCTTCCTCTCATATCCTCGGAGTCGCCGGGATCCAGGAACCATCCCAGCGGTGAGACACTACTAATTCTTTAGCTACCAGACCGCAAGAAATCCACGGGGGTTCGAACCTGCTGATTCTGACGGAAAACTGCCGGGCTACATGAGTGAGACCGACTCCACTGGAAGTCTAGGGGTGTGATTGGACGAGGGAGCCATTCTCTATGAAATCATCGACAACGCCAGGAACTAAATTTCTAGGATAATTATGGAGTAAAATGGATACCACAAAGAAAGGCTGCCGACCGCCTCACTTTGGTGGTGGATGGTCAGCGCCGCTTGATCGATTTGGATTCCATCATGATCGTCCTCTTCTCCTCCTCGCTACGGTTTAGTGCCAATTAAGACACCCACTTGGTGTGCATATGAAGTCATGAGGCAATGATAGAGGGGACAATGAATGGATTATGGGATACAAATAGTGATAAATTAATTTCCAACCCGTCATACATACATACTATAGGTGCAATTGTCATCATGATGGGGGGCTTCCCCGTAAGGGGAAGATAGAATAATAGACTAGTATAATAATGGTAATAATAACAATGATGAAAAAAAATAACAACAAAATAATCAATCATAAATCATGGCCCGCCAAATCACGGACAACCAACGCGGAACATGCCTGGGCCGCATAATTAGTATATTGTCGGCCTGACCAAGTAACACAATGAATTCTTCCAGAAAACAACACCTCAATTCTTCAATCAGAAGGCAACAGACAAAACCATGGAACTGATAGTTGACCGCTCATCAACGGCTACTCCCGTCAAGCCGGGCTGCAAGCCTAAAGTTGTCATGTTCGCAACTTGACTAGGCCAACGGGTGTTTCGATTTGGCAATTCATTGCGTTTTTCATTCTTCCCGGTGGAGTCAGACCTTTCCTCCCCGGTCGTTTACGTTTTGCGTTTTACATTTTTACAATTACAATCATAATTTAGTTCCTAGGTACAGAGTACCGTGTTGCTCCCCATTTTCCTTACTCGGCCATGCATAGGCACTTTTGTACTCCGTACTCCGTAAAGTTAGTTACGAGTGTATGGAGTAAGTGATAATCACCGCCCCTTTTTCCGAATTTTCCTAACTGTCGGGTCTGTTTTCCAGCAGACTGGGACTAGGATCTCCCCCTCCCCGTTTTCAAATGTGTCCACACCTTCTGCCGGTGTCCCCATCATGATTTCCCCCCCTCCCCCCCTCGTGATGTGTCGAACGTGGCGGTGGTTGACAATCCTTCCTTTAAAACCAATCACCTACGCCCTTTCCGATAGACCCGGTACTGGCGATCTATCCTTGACCCTTATTACTTCTTTTTTATTTCTTCTTGCATTCCTGGACTTTTTTCCCTTTTTAATTTTTTTTTTCCTCTCTTTTCTTCCGCCCTAACCCTGGACAGTATTGTACCTAAACTCGTTCCTCGTTTGGTCTTGAATTCCTCTCTTCCAACGCCCATTCCGGCATTGTTGGAAGTATTTCTCCACCCTCCCCTATACTCCCACGTCGTTAATTTCTTTGTCCCCTCTCCTCTCGCCACATGGGGCTGGTCTGTTGTCTGACCCGATGCGTTGGCCGCTGAAATCCCTGGGTGGTGTGCTGCATAAATGCAATCGATCAGCGCAGAGGAGTTGTCGACCTTAGAAACACCTCCTCAGAAGACTCTATACTTGCCTCACACTTCGTCGCCATTAAGCAGACTCGCGATGTCGCAAACTCTCTCGGGACGGTCCGCGTCTCCTAGCTTTACCCAGTCGTACCAATCTCTCTTCCAGATCGGCACTGAATTCCCACGCTTCGTGGTACCATACTATCCCTGGTGGGAAGATGAAGCTACTACAGTTCTTTGGGCCTTTAAAAATCTCGAGATCCGTCTAGTTATCCGCTACGGTCTATTTCGCGATGAGAGTCTACCACGAAATTCGCTCTTAAGTCGCAATGCCGACGCAATTGATGCAGTTTTCATGGCGCTAACTGAGCCCCGAGAACATCAGCTGCTCGGCCATCTCTCCCACATGCAACGAGTGGAGGAAATTCTACGTCGATCTGGGCTTCCACCATTTCAGCCGGTCCCTTGGTCCTGGCTACCCCAAACTCCCGTGTATGCGCTCGACCCGCGGGCTATCGCTCAGGCCATTGAGGCTGAGAGCCATTTCCAGCTTAGTAGGGTCGCTTTCGAAGATATCGTGCGCGCTTCGCTGGGTTACAGCGCGACTTCGGTTGAATGGTTTCTTATGCAACATACAGCCTTGTATATACACCTGCTAGATCATCTTAGGATATTTCCTGATGATATTCCTGTGTACTTGGAAGTGGAAAAGGTGTGGTTTTATTTCAAGTTTCTTAATACCAAATTTCATGCACTAATAGCGTCTCAGCATCTACGAACAAAGAGCCCCTTCGCCCACCGAGCAATAGCACAATGCTTAACTGCAGTGCAACCCGAATCTGCACCAGATCTGGCCAAGACATCCCTGTGTAGTTTTGAATTCGTCGCCGGTCCGATCCAGCGCCTCTTTCAAGACCGACCGGAGAGTTTGACCGACATGCTTAAGATCTGCAATGTATTCGCTGTGCGATTCCGCCGCCAGTACATCAATACCTCGAAGGTTCCTTGGAATAGGCAATTTGACGCTTCATACCCATTTTTAGAAGACTGCCTCGGATCATCCTCACCATCAGACCTGGCCCGTACCCTCACTACTTTGGATAAGGGAGACTTCGCTCATCTCACCCGATCAAGTATCATTGCACACGACGAAACCACAAAAGGACTTTTAGCCAATTGGGAAGATCTCACCGTGTCGGTATGGGAATGTTGCTCTGCAATCCCAGATCTTACACTATACCTCCGAGAATGCGCACAGGTGAGCTACTTCTTAACAACAATGTGACAGTTTCGACCCATATCTGACACAGAAATCCAACCATATCAGAGTCTACTGCAACGACAAAATTACCACTCTCTAACGGCAATGCTGCACGGTCTCCACAAATATAGTATATCGACTGCACGATCCCGCGGTCTCAACAGTACAGTTGGGGGAATGGTCATTCTAGACCCTATTATCCCACCAGACACGATATTCCTCTTCAATGCAACGCAAAACTACGCCGCATACCGTCAACATTACCGAGATTACCCGGGAATTCCATTCCTGCTCCCCCATCTTCGCGACGGCCAGCAAAAGGGCGAATTGGCCCTCCAACCCGTCTTCCGCTTTTTGCAGAGGTAACTAGCAGGGTCTACCAGGGAGTTTTGGTCATGTTCAACTGAACTACTCCGTGGATTTGGTCTTTTCCGCATTCATTCACCGCATTTACCCAATTTAAGTGAATCAGACCTCGGGATCCGCCTGCTTTCGCGCGGTGGCTTGCATTTCTGCAGGCGATCATACTATCGCGGCATGGTCCTGTTTCAAGCCTGCAAGAAACTTCTCCCTCGCCATTCCCCTTTCTCCCTTTGTTCACCAACCATGTCAAAAATTTCACCCGTCCTTTGTTTGCTATCGTTTCCTGCATCTGTGCCGTACCTCCTTACCCCACTTTTTCGATTTATGTCCGATGCCGGTTGATCGGCAAATTCTGCGTTGTCATTAGATTGCTTCAGTTTGAGAATTGTGTATTGTTTTACAACGCTGTATCCATTCCAGCATGTGGAGCGCCGGGCGTCTGGCGCAGGGTTATTCAAGACAGGATCTGATTTTTGAGTCTTTGTTTAATTTATTTTTAGCTGGGGGCCATTGTACCTGGTATCCACTTCATGTACTTTTTTTCTCATCCATGATCTGATCTCTGTATGTATCTCGAAGATATGTCCAATATTAGAATTGAAGTCTGGAGGTTTCGATACCGACCGGGAAGAATATTCTGCTCTGCTTTTCTCAATCAAACGCAGATGAGTCTTATTTCCCCGTCTTAACTGGAGACCCCTGCAAATAATTTGACCGAGTCATACGACCTGGGCACCAGCCCGGCGCCCGGCGGTCATAGAATCAATGCCTTGATCGGGTAGAAACCCCCCAAGCCTCTCATTCAACCCGACAAAGTCAACCACTTTGCATTATTCTTTCTTCGAAGCTACCTTTGGCGCTCTCGTAGACCCGAAGAACCCGGCCAGATATAGTAATCGATTGAAAAACAGAAACGCCGTGGCACCAATGTTTCCCCATGTCAAGGCGTTCCAGGCACCAACATCTGCAAAGGCGTCCCAGCCCATCCCGAGATAAGTGGCGTAGACGTGGCCAACATCAGCAAGGGCCAGACCAATCATATAATTGCGGATGACTTTGGATTCGGTTGTTGTGTGTAAGACGCCGACGCCGACAAGGAAGAGGAGGGAATAGAGATTGCCGAGTTGATAGGCCAAGGCTAGTGAGCTGGGGTGTGGAATTGGGGGGTCGACGTGTGGTGTTTGGCCGGCAATAAAGCCGTCCAGATCGTAGATAGGCGCGAGGCTGCCGAGGACTCTGGAGGTGGTAGTGGTGAGTAAACTTCTCATGCGAAGGGTCCATTGGGTGAAGAAGTTAAACAGATATCTTACAAAGAGAAGGGCTCAAGGATGCCAAATAGAATGTGCGGCCATGGTGGGAGGATCGTGGGCATTGTGGGTGTGAGTGAGGGGAGGTGGAGAGAAAAGGAGAGGGCGATGTAGATGTTGACAGTGAGGAGTGGATGAGAAAGAGAAACACGCGGCTGCCCCAGGAGCGGTGACGTAGTTAACTAGTTAGGTATTCGATGCCTCAGGCACCAGTTCTTATCTTATCGTAGTTTAGGAGTTCTTCTCCGGTGTAGCTGACCTTACTTTGATCCACCCTGGGGCAACGGCCCGGATCCTGCTTTCTTCTCTTCACATTCTCTTCCCCCCTTCTACATTCAGTGACTGGTATCACCTATGAGGCCTTCCATCATGAACTGTTTGAATTTACTTCCCCTCCATTTCCTTGGCCTGAGTTGCTAGATGGATTCCAACGGGGCCATCCGGGCCCTCGATGAATCCCACCACCGCGAACTTCCCCAACTCTCCTTGCGCATCGCGCCCTTGCGAGAGCCGGTGGCTTCACGAACTCTCAGAGTTCCTTCTCCACTAGAGCCTAATGCAAGTGGTGGGGCACGGGAGTCGCAGACGATCTCTAAAACCAACGTCTCCACTGGAAACAATACTCCTTCCACTACCAAAGAGGCTCTACCAACAGTGACCGAGTTTCTCAATGCTGCTCGAACAAAAGGTACAGATCCGACATCCAGCTCCCAGTCAAGTGCAGAAAGACCACCCAAGCCAATTCTTCCTGCTTTCGTAAATCTTCGCGCTCTGGAGCGTGTCCCCTTCTCCTCATCTTTTGATGACAACACACTCCATGGCCAACGCAAGCGAAGACGCCTTGAACTTCAGGCCGAATCTTTTGGCGAACATCTGCAATTGCCCATTCCACAAACTTCTCACAAGGAGCAACGACCACCCCCATTTGGACCTTTTGCAATTTTAAATGGCTTGAATGAACCGCCCCCCAACGCTGCCCTTCTCCCGCCTATTGAAGCTGGCTCAATCACCCAACTTCTCACGAAACCATCGCGTGGCGATGCTGCTGCTGCAACGACCGTTGTGGACCCGAGTACCATTGTCTCTGTCCATGGCACTCTTGTCGAGGGTCAGTCTGTAGAACGAAGAGAAGCAAAGATCGAAGAGCTTCTTAGTGCTACCCTTGACGAGAATGCCGTTGATCATGTACCCGCAGATGAAGCTGGCCCACTTGTTCACTCCGAGAACGCAGATGTAATCAAGCCCGCAGTGATTGAAAAAGAGGAACCTACAGCTAGTGGCGTTGCTCTGACGGGTAAGCGAGAAGGAAGTGACCCGCTGTCGCCAAAGTCTAGAGGTCGATCTCGGAAAAACTTGCGCAAGTGGACCGAGGAAGAAACAATGGCATTGCTTCATGGGGCAGTCAAGTGCGGCATTGGTAATTGGACGACGATACTCGCCCAACCAGAACTCAAGTTCAACAAGCGGACGGCGTCGAATCTAAAAGACAGATTCCGAGTTTGCTGTCCCTGGGCATATCGCGCATCTGACTCCAATGAGGCAACCAAGCAATTGCGCGACTATCTAGCCAACGCTCTTCACCAGGCACAAACCGAAGGCTCCGATGAAGTGCCTGGAAAGTCAAAATTGCCGATCACAAACCCCGCAACACCTGGCTCGGAGTCCGCCTCTAGAACTGAGAGTCCGACAACGAGCTCTCACAAACCTTCGGTATCTAGCATGTCCCCTTCCACGCCTGACACGGAGGTCGGCTCAACAAGCACTCGGAAAAGCCCACCTTCTAGAGTCACAGTCACGCGAACACTCTCAGACGAATCCCAATCAACTCTCGAATCTCTCGGCATACCCGAAGCCCACGTCGCCAAGAAATCCAAGCGGCGTTCCCGCAATCTATTCACCAGCGCTGAGGATGAAGCTCTGCTCAAGGGGTATGCTACACATGGCTTTCAATGGACTCTCATCCAACAAGATCCCCGGCTCAACCTTGGCCACCGCCGCGCAACAGACCTACGCGACCGTTTCCGCACCAAATTTCCCAACGCATATCGCCATGGAGGCTCTGTGAGCAGCGGCTCTGTTAATCAACCCAAGCAAGAACCAACCGGTACACCGGCGCCCATGCCTCGTGATCGTCTTCCTAGCACTGAAACTACGCCGGTAAATACTCCAACGAAGATTCCGGGAATTTCTCGACCCAGTGCTCACAGTCGACACCCATCCACGACATCGCATTCCAACCTCGGCCCCATTGATCCGTCGTTCTTGCCCCCTCCTCCCGGATTCGTTGAATCATCAACAAACATTCCCACAGCGGCTGCTCTGCTTTCATTCCCGCTGGATGAAAATTCGGCTGCGTCGCCATGGGAGGACAATACTCTAGCCCCTATGATCTGGGACGACCTAAACTGAAAACACACCGTAGAGCACCACGGCTCTCAGAAAACAAAACCATCTCGTTTTCCTCTTTTACGCATGACGTTCTGTCTTGACCTTTTTGGTATTCTGATATTTTCTTGTTGGCTTATAGGCCCATATTGACGTGGGTCATGCATCTCGGGTGTCTTCTTTTTGTCTGCGTTTTTGACCTTTACTACTATTATATCCCGCAGTACACGACGGCTATTGTTTTATCAAAAGTTTTTTCACAGAATGGACTCGAATTATTTTCACGGAAGTGTCGAGTATCAACTAATCCACTAAGCATAGGCCCGGCGAAATTGATTATGATTCCGGGTTATTTTTCGAGGTGAACTTGCTACTTTCCATTAACCAAATTCTAGCTGTATATTGATTGACACTCAAGGGTGAAGTGAAATGAGAAAGCTAACGAGATTCAAATTTGACAATGCCAATCGTACGAATGCTGCTTTCATTACTTCCGGCAAGGTATCATAGCCTAAAAGTACTAGTAATTCGCCAAGCTGAACAGAATAGGACACACATACGGAGTTCAACAGAAATTGGATATCAAACGATTTTCAAGGATCGGGATTCATCAAGTAACGTACAATCGTCTATTTGGCAAGCCAAATAGACAGTACGCAAAGGGACCAAGCAGAGAGAACATGACCGCGAGAAAAGGACCATAAGACGTTGCGCTCAAGGTACTAGGTGAATTGAAAACATAAGTAGAAAGGAGGCGGTGGGAGATAAGGGGTTGGAATGACCAAATGGGGCGGGCTGGGGAGAGGGCTCAAGTTGTAAAGAAGACCTTATGTATGCAAAGCAATCTACCACGCATTCCGGTCCCAATTCGGATCTAGACGCAAGATGTCAGCACCTCATTCACGAGCATTGGGATTTTCTAGAAGACGCAGTCTTCCACACCATGCGGATAGAGAAGATGACCTACCCTGTATGAAACTAGCCAAAACTTTACTTCCTGTCTGCAGCAAGGGGTGTCCCGCCACGATCTGCAGGAACCGCTGAAGGCCCTCCCGGCGATGTTCAATAACGTCGTCACTGAAACGATTCGTGAAGACTTTGCCCGGTAGTGGGGGGGATCGTGACGCGCGTGCTCTCGCGCTCGAGAATATCGCGGAAGTACTCGAAGTCAGAGTAACGGCGGCGGACGATGGAGTGTTTCAGTTTGAAAGCGGGGATATTGGTGCGGCAGACGATTTCGTAAGAGGTATACATATTCCGTGATGTGCCATGTGTTTGAGGATTGCGGACCTGGTTTGAACACAAGCCTGAGTCAGAACAGTTGTTTGAACGGAGTGCGTTTTGTCGAACGGGGATGGATGAGGGGCGTGAGAGTTTAGACTTGTGCTAGATGGGTAGGTGGGCACAAGACCACCCGGAAAATGACATCTGCCGGGGCAAAGAGTACGGCGGCATTGACTACAACTCACTTCAATCTCCAGGAAGTTCTCTGGAGGTCCGTAGATCTCCTCAAAGGTCTGTGTGCGGGACTCCGGGACAGACTGCATGGTGGTGGGTGGGTGGTTGACCGGGACGGTCTGAGCAATTATTTCAGGGTAGAGTGTCGTTAACGGGATCTGATGTAGAAAGCAAGATGCAGCCCTATAGAATCAAATGTAAAAAAGCGAGTCTCCGCACGGCAGATGCAAAGTGGAGGAGCTCGAGCTTGAGGCGGGGGAGCCCGCGCTATCGGCCACCACGTGATCCGTTAGGCTTATCCGCGCTTGACGGCGGGATTTCTTCCATATCATCCCATCTATGGCCAGCCGATAGCGGCCAGGCGGGACGAAATTATTTTGGCTGGGCAGAATTTTGGTTGAATTCTACCTTTTACATGCAAAGTATTGATGGATGGCTACTAACTAGGTAAGTGCTACTTTTTACATACTACTAGATAGTACTTAGATAGCTCCTAGTAACTAACTACTACCTAGTAGCTACGCGCAAGCAATAGTTAGCCACTACGGAGTAGTTAAATAGTAGTATACAAACCTAGGAAAATTACAACTATACCACCACAAGAATTGAAGCAATAATGTCCAAGCAGCAAAAATAGTCATAATTACTAGAGAAGTCTAGTAGGAAGAGAAAGAGGGAATTCAAATATAGATCTAGGAGACAGCGGTGTACCTAGGTAGGCGGTTTAGTATTTCATAATTTCGTCTCCCTCGGCCGCTATCGGCTGCCGTACATCACATCCTGGGGCCGGTCTACATCCTAACATGGTCCAACATTGCACTTCAAAAATGTTTCTCATTTTATACCCATTAAGCTATTAAAGAATCACATCTACCCAGCTTCCATCACGATGCCATACGAATTGATTCATAATGAGGTGTTGGCTCATCCTTTGCTGAGTATGGCGGCGGCGGCGGTGTCCCCCCTCGAATAATTGCTGTCGGTGGTCTTTGTGGAGAGTTTCGCGGTTGCACTGTACTGGAATGTCTCGCAGTATGCATAGGGAGTGGTGGCGGCCTAGGGTTGACTCTGGCCGGCCTAGAATTGGCTCTGCTAGCCCGAACGCCACAGGTGATTATTCCCATTGCAAGTCCCAATGCCACAACCATACAGACAATTACAATGCCTGCCACCTTTTTCCCGGAAAAGGAGGAGTTGCTACTTGAGCCACTATTAAAGTCTGAAGCACTAGGATAGTAACTGCGGCGTGCAATCTCACTCTCTGGTGATGAAGTACACCAGACTGAAGAAGAGCAAGCAGATGGGAGCTGCGGAGAATCTCTGAACTTCGTTTGGCGTGGTGTCTTGATATAGTTTTCCCAGGAGCACCATTCCTTGATATCTTGATTGATTACTACATTCCCAGGGATGTCAATAAAGGTGATCCATAATATTAGTCACTCAAAGAGCTCACCATCAACTTGAACATCAGATGAGCAGCCATCAGACTGGGAAATACAGCAGATTAATTTCTCGAGGAAAGCTGTGTGGCTGACAGAACACAAGGAAAGCCGACTTTCCGTAGGGATACCACTTTCTTCCTGCCAATCATAAGCCTGACTTGCGCATGAAGACTGTTGTGTTGGAAGTTAGATCATGAAGTCTCAAACATCAAATATAGACAACTTCAATACTCACAGCGCAGCTCCCATAATAGTCATTTATAAAGTCATCCACTCCCTGACAGACCGCGAAGGGCGCAATTGTCCCTATTGTTAAGTAATATAGAACAAGATTCATGATATTTTCGTGAGAGCCGGAGAGGGGAAGATATGAATTAGAATGTTTGGTACAGATAAGCAATATGCATTAGCTTGAAATGTCGAGTACAGTTTTCATCATTCATAGCGAAGTTATCATGCAGTATTTATGAAAAAGTACCAGTTGGATGTTATTGGGGCTGTGGAGTACTGCGGAGACCAGTCGGGCTGAGCCTCACGCGCCCGGGCACGCACGGAGGTGGTCGGGCAATACGCCAAAGGCCAAGCACCGCTATCTGCTCTTGGAATTACGATTTCCAGGTAGTAAGGCACACCTGGGGCAAATTCAATCGTTTTCCAAGCCGGATAAAACGGATGTGGTTTTTCAATTCATAATCAGTCAATGCATTCCATTCTCCCCGCGTATCAGTCCTAAACTTCAGAGGCATAATGTCAAAACATACAGACACCCAACATACCATTGCCGTATTTTCTCGTATTATTCAGCTCCAAAATTACTGGTGATAGGACATGAAATTACTTAAGCACCCTAGCTTGGTCTCTAATGACATTACTTCCAGTAGAATACCTCCAGGGCTGCCCACACCACAAGCCGAGACAGCCCTCTCTCTTCTATCGAACCGCTTCAGTAACCCCGCTCCTTAATAACGCTAAATCACGAAAGATAACATTGAAGTTCAGCGGTAGTGAGAGCATCACAGTACGTGCTCGTAAAATGAAGAAATTATACGGAAAATTAAGGAACAACCCCTGCTAAGAATGACGCGGTTGGTCGTCAGGGACTCGACGGCTCAGAACAAGGCTAACCCCAAAGGTCATTTATTGAACTTGAGCACATTCTTGCAATTTAAACGGTACCTCAAGAGCCCCGTCTTGGCACAGAAATCCAGAGTTATGCTTGGACAGTTGAGTCATCGAATGTGATTGGATGATCTGGTATACCGGTTTGTTTGCCAAGCAACCGCCGCGCCCCAGGGCCAACACTGTCTTACCGGAGCTACCGCATTCAGATACATGTTTTAACACAGCCTCCTCACTATCACTAGTCATAGATTTCACCGTCTAATTATCACATCATGGGACCTACCTCGTGATACGTATGACCCGGGGCCACCATTGATATAGGCCAAAGCGGATGGAGAACAGAAACTGGCTAAGGTGCAAGATAGAGGAGCGGTCAAAGCAATAGATTCCAAAAAGTGAAAACGCCTCTCTGTGGGTTTGGAAATACCTTGGCTATTTCAACCTTTGACCTGCCAGTGTTGCGGTTCGGGTCGGAGTTTATCAGGGACAATATCCGAGAACATTTGAACTTTCCCCGAGTTAATACAAGTCGCCATTTCATCGGTCCGGGGATACCGGCACTCCGATTCTTCAAGGTTTTCAGAGCTACGACGATCCCTGTATATCATATTTTCCCCACGTATTGTGTACGGCAAGATGATATGCGGGGACTAAGCCGTCGGGCCTACCATAGCATTGCGGGGTTCCGACATACCCCCGAATCATCTGTTTAAAAGAAGATACCATAATAAAGACGATTTTGTATCTCTGAGATCCTAGTTCTGGGGCTTAAGTTGAAGATGTCGTTCATTACGGCTGCTTTAGAGAATATCTCCCCACCTGTAATGGTGGGTATGGTGGTTATTTTTTTGCTCGTGAGTGTTCCAATCTCATTAAAACACTTCGAAACATTATATAACATGAAGATTCGTTTTCCAGTTTCTCTTCAAGATCATATTAGAAGCATGCCATCGTGCTTTATTCGGAGAACTGTCGCACATACCGGGGCCTTTCCTGGCGAAATTTTCATCATTGTGGATTATTCTCCAGTGCCGGTTTGCGAAGCGTTCCGAGTCTGTACTACAAGAACATAGACGGCACGGTACTATCATTCGAATCGCACCAAATCATATCTCATTCTCCAGTCGCTTAGCTCTGGAAACTATCTATGGACACAAATCTGGCTTCACCAAGGGGCCCTTCTATGAAGATATGTCAATATTCCACTCCACTGATATGAATGCTGACGTCTAGACCGATATACCCTTTCATCAAGTTGAGCCAGTGCTTTTCAACACTAGAGATGTGAAAGTTCATCAACGCAAGAAGAAATACCTCAGTCCAGCATTCTCAGCGAGACATTTGGGTGAATATGAGCCCTATATGACGGAACAAATCGGGAAGTTGATGCAATGTTTTGGGAGGCTTGTTCAGAGATCGCAATAGGCGGAGCTAGATTTTAATGACTACTGTAAGTTCATAAATCAACTGAAACGAAATAACTGTAAGCTTATTTTAAGTCTAGCCAATTTTCTGGCTTTCGATGTTATCAGCGACTATTCGTTTGGAAAGTCCTTTGGCTTTCTTGACAAGGAAAGAGATGACCTAAACCTCATCGCTACTGTCGATGCACGAGGGGAGGTCTTGAATGCCTTAGGTCATCTACCAAATTTCTTACGACCTGCGATGAAATATTTCGTATTTGATCAGTTCTGGCTGAATGGCCTGAAAGCAACAAGCAGCCTTGCTTCTATAGGATCTACTGCCTACCATGAGCGAAAAGGCCAAGACACAGATCGGAAGGATTTACTAAGCTTTCTATTCAATGCAAAGGATCCAGATACGGGCTCCCCACTATCGGAAAAGGAAATTATTGCCGAGTCTATCTCCTTTATCGTTGGCGGCAGCGACACGACAAGTACCACCATGACAAACGTGGTCGACATCCTATCGCGGGCACCGGAGATACAAAGACAGCTTCAGGAAGAGCTCGACAGTTATTTTTCTGGACCTCTGGCGGATGACTGGGTAGCTGATTTTCAAATTGTGAATCAGCTTCCTGTCTTGAACGCTGTGCTTCGAGAGACGATGCGGTTCAAACCGACGAGTTCTACTGGCCTTGAGAGAGTCACACCTGTCGGAGGCAAGACTATTTCGGGGACCTATATCCCTGAGGGAGTAAGCACTATGTTCCAAAATTTATTAGGTAACAAAGACTTGTGCTTACTAGCTATTAGACCTTGGTTAGCGTGCCTACACTCAACATCCATCATGATCCTACCGTCTTTTGCGTGAGTACTCATCAATACCTACATAGATATAATAAGATTAGAAACTAAATTAAGAAGACTCCTGACAGATTCGACATCTCTCGATGGCAAGATGGAGATTCATCTAAGCTATTGGACTCGTTCTACCCATTTTCTCTAGGGCCAAGAGCATGTATTGGTCGGAAGTGAGTTACATCAATAATCCCTGTATAACAAAGTGTTAATGTCTTGGCAGTTTTGCATGGATGGAAATTTTCAAAGCATTGGCAACAATCTTCAGGATTTTCAAGGTTGAGAGAGTCAGTCCCTTAGCTACCAATGTTCGAGAAGGTTTCTTCGTGAAAAATGATGAGTGTAAGGTGAGAATCACACGGAGGTAGTCGATCAACAAGCAGGGCTACAGTAGCTCCTCGAAGACATTACTCGTAAATCCCCTCTATTTTTGATCTACAAAGCATGAGAATCATTCATAAAACCAGTCTGCTCTCGCCATGTAGTGTAGGTAGTACACCATACCACTGTTTCTCCACAAAAATGTGGAGAGGCATGACATAATGCCTTCCCATTACAAATTGGAGGAAGCGGCGGTAAGTCAACTTTATCCGCGGTATCGATAAGCTTCTCCTCATCCAACCCCAATCCATCCCATTCGGAACAGACCCCGCCACAATGAGTTCACCTGGGTCTGACGAGACGAGAAATGAGCCCGGAGAAGCTCCAATATGGCATCCCGCACGAGAATGGCTTGAAGAAGACGAGGGGGACGAGGACGACCTTGACTATACGGTCCCATCTACCACGATGGAGACCGAAGACGATTGGGAGGATGATGATGATGTAGGGAATGAGGCGATGGGCCTCGGTGTTTCCGACGGTGAGACCAGGATGCTTTGATTAGTGACCATTGCACGAAATGAAAAGCTAATTGATGAACCATTTATCAGAAACCCCCCCATATCACCATCGACAATATCCAATTCGAACTGACGCGCGACGATCTCGAGGAAGCTGGGGGCGCGCACCCACGCAGTATGTTCAGTCCCAGTAAATGGAAAATATCACGGTAGCTCGCATATTCGGGAGTTTGCCTCTGACTTGCATCCAGTCCCAGCCGCACAATTATTCGAGTTACTCGCGTCGAGTGGTCTACAGCATATTCTTCGTTCAAACGGATGGTCAACCAATATCGTCGGAGATGACGGCGATGACGAAAGTGACGACGATTTTGATGCATCATTCATTCGCAGGCCCAGGCCACGGAGAACAGGTGGTGCAGACAACTTCCCGAAAGTCCCCAGTGATGAGGGGACGGAATTGATGGGAGCGGGTCAGTTTGGGACGAATCCATACTACGTCGATCGGCTTAAGAAGCGCAAGGGAGTGTTCGCTAAGAATCTCATGTGGCGCGAGCTCGGAATTGAGTCTCGTGGATTGCGCAACAGAGCCAGTCAATCCTTATCCCAGGTAAAATGAATTTTGATACCTCCGTCAATCGCCGAAACATGAAGCATGGGCTAACTTGATGGCGTGTGCTTAGCAATTGATACCAGGATCGGTGGCAGACAAGATCATTCACTACGACGCACGAAGTTATTCCGGTCAATTTTCCGATGATGGGAATTTCTTCTTCTCATGCGCGCAGGATTTCAAAGTCCGGATGTACGATACATCCAACCCTTACGAGTGGAAATATTATAAGACTGTCGACTATCCCTTCGGGCAATGGACAATCACCGATGCAACTCTGAGTCCCGATAACCGTTTTTTGGTCTACAGCTCAATAAGAAGCCAGGCTTATCTAGCGACCACAGATCCCGAGGATGATTCTGATCCATCAGTACTGGACTTTTCTCTTCCTCCGGGTCAACGACGACGAAGCATGGGCAGCTCTCACTTTGGAGTAGGTTTTCAAGAACGATTTTGTTTTATATTCGACTAATCCTTTTCTCTCAGATCTGGTCCCTTAGATTTTCTGGGGATGGACGAGAGGTTGTTGCGGGCACGTCAGAAAACTCAGTAGTTGTGTACGATATCGAAACAAAACAGCCGGTCCTTAATCTGCAAGATCGGCATCAAGACCATGTCAACGCAGTGTGTTACGGTGACACCTCTTCGCCACATTTACTCTATTCTGGATCTGATGACACAACGCTCCGAGTCTGGGATCGACGATCCATGGCCGACGGTCGTGAAGCCGGCGCCTTCATGGGCCACACCGAGGGTTTGACCTATGTGGATAGCAAAGGAGATGGTCGGTATATCATTTCCAACGGAAAGGATCAAACGATGAAATTATGGGACCTGCGTAAGATGATGACCACCGCTGACTTTGACCGGATCGACCCTAATCATTACACCACTGGATTTGACTACCGCTTCGAGTCCTATCCCGACGAATACTATGAACCTCACGAACATGATTGTTCGGTGGTCACTTTCCGCGGCCACCGTGTTCTGAAAACACTAATTCGTTGTCACTTTTCGCCGCCTGACAGCACGAATTCGCGCTACGTGTACAGTGGCAGCGAAGATGGAAAAGTTTACGTGTATAATATGGATGCCACGCTGGCCGGGACCATCGATGTTGGGTCAGCTACTGTGAATTCCCGACCCCGTGAGCCGGATGTCTTCGCTTCTTATGATATGGGCGGCGAGATGATATGGCGGACGTGTGTACGAGATGCCAGCTGGCACCCGAATGCCCCTGTACTTGCAGGTAATTAACCACCCCAACTTTCACTCAAGACACTCTTGCTGATCATAGATAGCAACATCATGGAACGGATGGGGACTGTCGAGTGGTACCTGCACAGTACACAGTTGGAACAATGGTGCGAAGGACGATGAAGGCGACCCGCCAATTGGGAGAAGCTACGACGACAAATTGCGAGATGTACCGGAGTTCAACCACTTCCGCGAGCACGCGCCCCCACCTCGAAGACGTCCGGTGCGGAGTCGACCAGTGCGGCGACGATTCTTCGATGAAGATGAGACTTGGTGAGGTGGTCATTTGCAGTAATTATGCATTGGGGTTTTGCAAAATAAAGGATTCTCCTGCGAGTGATTCTCTGGGTCATGAGCATTTGAAACTCTGCGTAGAGATTGTCTTCATACGATTTGTAGGTATAACGAGCGACGAATATGCAAATACGACTATTTTGTTTCAAATCGGCGCGCACTGGGTATTATTATGTGGCAGCCCCATGGCGTAGTGGATAGATACCAGGTATGGTGGGAGAGTTGGGAAGGATGTGAAAAAAAAGGACAAAATTGGACGTGGGTATGGAAGGTCGTCAATTAAACAGAAACAAAAGAGCTCCTATTGGTACAAGAAAGAATAGTGGTATATGGTATCTCAAGGGCGGCGGACGAAGCACTCCCTCCAACACAACCCAAAAAAGCGCCAGGGTGGTTTGCTGGCAACAACGTAAAGCAGAAATAACGCCCGCGACGGCGGTTTGGTCCAGGGGTCCTCAAGATTTGATGCGTGTGCCCGCTTTCGAAACGATTTGTCGAGCTCAGGTTGCGTCGCGGTAGTTCAACGGGCGGATGAATCACCTGTCAGATTGCGGACCTTTCTCCATGCTGGGGTCTCCGATCGCCCCCTTTCCAGCTTCCAGCTCGTCGATGTAAATTGGATGAGGTATTTAAGCACCACCGACCAGGACCTGGTTAACAGGGATGTGAACTATTGTGAAGGTTATCCGTTAGCGAATTGTTAGAGCAATATTATGGATAGGCACGCGATGAGATCGGGGAGCTAATGTGCGATCGGCGGCGGCATCACATACTCAGCTTGACGAAGTAACCAATGGCACCCTAATAAATCGAGTTAGCAAGTCTGAAGCAAGTCATAACAAAAAGGGGGGTAAGCTAATTGATAGCAAATAGACACGTACCATAACGAGGAAGCCCATGCCGACGGCCTGGCTGATCTTGATGAACTCGCGCTTGTCGGGCTTGGTGCAACGCTTAATGAAGAGGGAACCCTCACGGACAAAGTCCTTGGGGATATCGGCAAGTTCTTGAATAGTGTCAGACATGATGTGAAATGTGAGAAGTTGTGAAGGAGGTGAAGTTGGGAGAAGCAAGAGGGGAGATCTGAGGAAGGAGCGAATGCCATTCTGGCCACTTCGGCGACTTCCATTTCTGGGGAACCGGAACAATACTTCTTCCCGATCCGGCACCGCGCTCCCTTGGCTCGACGACCTGTTTCACATCAAACCCCCCCCAAACATCTCGACATCTCTGGCTAGTTGAGGAAGGATTGATATCTCCTTTGTTGATACTTACGCAGTACTCACTGCTTCTGCCTGTCTGTGGCAGATCTTCTCTTTCTTTCCCTGTATCGAAGCTTAAAGGGCTACTCTGTACGCGCTCATCAGCTAGCGCAGCTCTTGTTCACTGTCGGAGGCAATTGTTCTCGGATTGTACGTATCGTTGTGAGCCTTTTTTTTCTTTCGCTTTTCTCTGTCTTGTCTTTTACAAGTCTGTTTGGGAAGTCTACCTCACGTCTCTTCCTGACTTTTATCTGATGTGCTTCAATGGCTGAGTTCACTCTTATTCTCCCATGCTAATTGAAGCTCGGCGTTTCCAGACATGTACTCTTCTTGAGACCAGAGACCATTTTTCCAAAAAGCAAAGAGCAGAAGAAGAGAAGACCAAAAAGGGCCTGTATTAGCCAACCTCAAACTTATTCAAAATCGAATATTTGCTCTTCAGCCTGCAGTCTCCGAGGACTCGGATCTCCTAGTGCACAATGGCCACGGAAGATGATAACTTCGATATTGACATTTACGGGGATGGCAGTGGCTACAACACCACTGAACAAGGTGATCAGAACCAAGATGACACCGAGCTGGTACTAGATGCCCCCGAGACCACCTCCTCGGCCGCCCCTTCCACAGACACGAAACAAGCCAACAACACGAATCACGCGAACAATACGAACAATGCGCCCGCCGAGCCGAACCGTCCCGTCGAATCAGCACCCACCTCCAACGGCGACCACGCCATGACCAACCCGCAGACCTCCGCCCACGATGCCCCAGCGCCGCCGTCGCATGGCGTCAAGCGGAAGGACTATGACGACCGCCCTTCAGACCCAGATGCCACCAGCGCATTACTCATCTCCGATCTATTCTGGTGGGAAACGGACGACGACATTCGGGGCTGGATCGCCTCGGCCGGCAGTGAGGACGAGCTCAAAGATGTGACATTCAGCGAGCATAAGGTCAATGGCAAGAGTAAAGGGTAAGTTGGGGGTTTTGTGCTTATCCTCTGTTTCGTCTCATGTCTCTAACCACATGTCGCGCTATTTCCACAGACAAGCCTTTGTCGAATTTACCACCCCCCCAAGCTGCGACAGCTAGCAAACATAAGATCGAGAGCGGCTCGGGACCAGGTCAATCAGGGCGGAAACACCTGGTCAACTATACCAACCCCCATCAGAACCCATTCCGCACACTCCCCAAGGATGCGCCCATGCGCAAGGACGCCAATCGAACGATGGGCGGTAACTTCAACGCTGGCGGTAACCAAAACAATAACTTCGGCATGAATATGGGCGGCGGTGGATACCGCGGCGGACGAGGAGGCTTCAATAACCGTGGGATGGGCGGAAACAACTACAACAACAACCGAGGCAACTTCAACAACATGGGCGGCGGCTTTCAGGGCGGCGGCGGTCCTGGTATGATGGGTGGCTTCCAGGGCGGTCCTATGGGTAGCATGCAGAACTACGGCTTTAATAACCGCGGAGGTGGCATGATGGGTGGCATGCGCGGTGGACCAGGTGGTATGCGTGGTGGTCGAGGAGGTGGGAATATGGGCGGGAACAATATGATGGGTATGCCGGGCATGAACCCCATGGCCGGAGGTATGGGCATGAATCCTATGGCCGGTGGAATGAACCCTATGATGAACATGGGCATGCAGGGTGAGTATCAACCCTATTCTGGAATCTTCGAAAGCTTGACAAATACTGACCTCTCCAGGCCAAGGTTTCCAAGGAGCCAACCCGGCAGCCTTCAACCAAGGATTCTTCAATAACCAGGGAGGTAGCGGCGGAGGCGGCAATGACGCTTCATGGAACCCGCACGGTGCAAAGCGCAGTCGACAGGAATAGAGATCCTGGCCACGAGTTGCCTGAGACACCCCCCGATCAACCCTAATTCCCCGACCCCGTCTACGAAAGCTGGCTACGAAACCTCCACTGGCTCACTTAACCACGCACGAACGATTATTTCTGCCCGCCATTTCTATTTTTGCTACTCTTCATTACCATCTTCTCCAACCCAGATCTTCTTTTTTAACGGTGTTAACTTTCAAAATCCACATGGCTTCGAGGATTTTACAGGCAAACAAACATCCCATCCCAACTTCCAAGTTTTCTATGGCTTGACTTCGTCAGCGGGTATTTTATTTCTTCTTATTCTTTCTCTTCTTCTTTTGGTGTATTAGATGCAATTCAACGGTGTTGCTATTCTTGATCTGTACTTATATTTTGTGGCGAAAAATTTGGGTCTGCCTTTGTTCTTGGATGACATGCACTCGGAGATGATCTATATCGTACTAGTAAAACTAGGTCTCAACGATCTGCGATCTCCCAGCTGTAGTAGAATGGAACTAGTAGTGGTATTAGTAGTAGTAGTAGTAGTAGTAGTAGTAGTAGCAAGTTGGTTCATGGACTACGAAATTCCTATGAAAATTCCTGCCCAATCCAAGGTCGAATGAAAATCGATTGCGTCGGGCTTTCAAACTCAGTCAAGCACGACCATATCATGTCTCCGAGTCCATAAGCAGATCCATCCAGTCAGCCTCGCCCAACTAATAACTCCGAGTCTACTCCGAACAGCCAGCACAGCCTCCACAGCTTTCTCTCAAAAAGCTCATCGCTGCCAATGTACCTATCTCCCACGCATCATGCATCTTTACTCCCAAAAAGCAGTGTAGTACAGAGGCAGCCTCAAGGCTCACTGCAAGGCACCCAAGGCACTCAAAACGATTTGACATTTTACGTTCGGGTGTAAGCATTTAATTAAGGGCGCGGGGGGCCTGAAGCGCAGAGAACTTGGAAATGCAATGTGGAAGAAACAGTAAGATTCGTAAAAGATCAAAGAGTGAAAAAGACAAAGGGGTGTCTTTTGCGTTTCGATGGATGAGGGAAATACACACGCTTTCCAACGAGATCGGTATGTAGTATGTATGTATGTAATGTATGCGCCCTTCCTTCCATGGATATCGTAACAAGTCACTCGTGTCATCATGGCCGCCCAAATGGTCAAAGGTCAAAACTGTAAAAATAGGACTCAAGAAAAGACAAATCCCAGTCGCGATCCAAGGAAAAAAGCATGCCCCATCTAATGTAGTGTACAAGCGCCAGTAAGGTACACTTTTTTAGACCGCCAGCCCAGTAGATCAAGATTAGGTGGGTTTGGTGGGGCCTGAGAAGGGAAGTTCTTTCGGGGAATTTGTTGGTGAGAAAGAAAAAGAGATGTTAGGAAGAACTGCAAAGAGAAAAAAAAAAGAAGAAATAAAGTCAAAACATTATCACGCGGAAGAAAATCGTGAGAACAAAAACACCTGGGGTATCGAAAAGCAATTTAGGTAGAGATGAAAGGGAATGATAAAAATAAAGGCGAGCGGCAAAGTATGAGGAGAAGCAAAAGAAAAGGCGAAGAGGGGTAAGAAAGAAAGAAAGAAAGAAAGAAAGAAATGAACCAGGGAGCAATCAATCCCTCAATTGAGGACGAATTTCATGATCGGCAGCTCGACCGAGTACCGTGATCATGAACACGACATATCGAGCGAAGTAATACAGGAGACGAGCCTTTTCCAAGACCTCCGGATCATAAGTATCATCCGAAGCAGAAAGATCAGGTACCAAGCCGCCGGTCAGTTGCGAGATCCTATCGAACGAGGCCTGGGTGTCCAAATCGAAAGTGAATTCCATTTCTGGTAGATCCGATGGGACAATGACCTGGTCGTCGTAGAGAGACATGTCAATGGACGAGGATGCAACAGAGGAGTGGAGGGGGACAAGTTTGGTATCTGGCTTGCTATCCTCGTCCTTGTCTTTGTCCCCGTCGTCATGGGCTTTGTTGGCGGGTCCTTCGAGGGCTCTTCTCGCTTCGAATCTCTTCTTCGTTGTGTCGCGCAAGCTCAGTAGACTGACAACTATCTGCACTTTGTTGCGAAGAGTTGACCCGGGGCTGTTGGAGGTGGCGACAGAGAGTCTCAATTTCACCGGACGGCCACTAGAAAGGTCGGTGGTCATCCTTGGGGGTGTCTTCGTAACCCTTGTGTTGCAGGCGCATCTACATTGAGAGAGTCTTGGTGGAGGAGGAATATCTCTCCACGGGGATACTTCAAAGCCTAGAAGTGAGTATTAGCGGTGGCTGGGCTTGTGAAGGGACTACATGATACTTACTGCTGTAAAGCCAGGGATTCGGGCTCGTCGGCAGATTATTGAGAGGCTTCGTTGGTAATCCAATGGGTAAGAGTTTCGTCCATGGAAAAGCGCTAACCAGGGGGCTGGTTGGGGATAAGATGCTTCCCAGAGACGACGGGGAGCCTATGGAAAGCTCTTCTTCACTGAGAGTGGGTGAGTCTATGTGCCTCATGTGTCTCACAGTCCAGATACTGCCCGGATTATTTACATCATTACCTTGGGGAAGGGATCCTTGGAAGCTCCTGGGGGCGGCTGCCCTGCTTGAGAATCCGGGGTTCTGCTGTCCTTGGTTGAACTGAGTGGAAGGAAATGATTGCATATCTTGCCTAGGTAAAAAGGTCTCAGATGTCCAGTACGGGGACGGGGAGAAGATTGTGTCGAGCGGAGAGACAACTCCGATTTCCAATGACGAGTGGGATTGTTGAGAATCTTGAGATCCCGTGGGTACCGCGGAGGAACCGAATGACCGCCCATTCAAGCATCCGCGACAATGATATCTTGATCTGCCCGTGAGACGACATTCACTCAGATCGCCTTCAGCGAAGAGTCGAAAGCAACCAGCACACTGAATACCTCGGGTGCTTCTGCTCGATAACTCTCTCTGCCTCAACCTTCTTTCTCGAAATATTTCGTTCCTCTGTGTAGGTTGGGGGTAAGGGCTTCTAACTCGAGGAAGCGGGCTACCTCGGGGAAGTTGACCCCCCCATGTGGGCAATAGAACGAGAAGAATTGGAGTTCAATCTGTTCCCTTCTCCTAGTTGGGGGTCTGAATGCAATCGATTCATTCTCACTCGCGGTGGACGAAGTTGGTCTCGAGCCATGGTGGAGGAAGGAGAACGTTCTCTGGGAACACTACCAGGGACAGTGAGCCCCTGGGGCAGTACAGATGGTGGAGGATCCACTGCAGTGACCGAACCCATTTGAGGTGCTTGACCATGGTCGGCACTACCGTTTCGAGAAACAGCACGCTCGGATTGTGGTGCGCCAATCTTGTGGTGAGAGATGATACAAGTATAGAACTCTTCCCAACCGTTGGTGAGTAGTCTGCAGCAAGGGCACTGAATGGGACAAGGAAACTCCGATGTGTCGAAGCTTTCTGGGTTGATTCCTGGATGAGCACGGATGTGGGCTTTCATCTTGTCCTTGCGGTGCTGTGTCACGGTACAGCCGTCCTTGGGGCAGGAATGTTTGAATTGAGGGAAATGCTGGTCCTTAACGTGCCTTGTCAAGACCCCTTTGTTCATAAACCTCGGGGACGTGACGCCGCAAATCAAGCACCCGCCGTCATTCACGATGCTCTCGGTTCCTGGAGACGGATAGTTCTTCAAGAGTTCCTCAAGAACGTCTATCGCCTTTTTTGTTCGCAAGATATGTGCCGAAGTACATTCTTGTTTATTGAGGTGAACATTGATAAAATCCATAATATCATCCCGGGCCTCGACCAGACTTTTAGAGCCGGCAGTACCACGGTGAGTATTGATGGTAGGCACGCCGACGACCCCATTTCTCCTCTCGGGGCGAGTTTGTTCGGTCTTTAACTGAGAGGCAGCGTTCTCATTGGGGCTTTTGGGCAAAATATCACCCTCCGGTAGATTGAAAGGCTCATTGGATGTGAAGTCGCCAAAAAAGAGGAGGTCCTCCGCACAAGCAGTGGTGGCATGGGAAGGAAAATCTTGGGAGGGGAACGGGTCTGGCTCTCGAAAGCTTGTGTCACTCGTCGTCCCCCCGTATGAGATGCTGGGTTGTTGTGACGAGGAAGGTAGAGATTCCTGAAGCAAACTGGGTTAGCTACCATTTCAGAGCATCCGGGGTCAAAACCAGGTACTGAGAAAAGGAGCCAGTTAACTGACAGTACTCACCAGTGCAGCTGAAGGCACCGACGCGGTATCACTCATGTAATACCCGTTATAGTCATCGGGATGCAATGTTGCCATCGAGTCTGATAAGTCCAGGCCACGGGAGAAATTGTTTGATTCAGTCCCACAAAAGTCATTCCCGTTGGCATGAAAGGAAGAATTGAAGGGAAAGGACATCGTGGTAAGCAATGTCTATCTGTTCGGAAGAGAAACCAAGCAGAGGGAGGCGGGGGGGAAGAAAAAAAGAGAGAGAGAGAGGAGAATCAGGAAGAAAGTAGATTAAACTTATACAGGCAGTAGCCCGATGAGACCCCTGGAGCTCGTTGGGCTCATCAAAGTCTCTAGGTCCTAGCCCGGGCGACGGATGCTCCAGGAGCGGATGGAGAGGAGGGGGAGATGCAGCACGATCAGAGCACTGACGACAGTGGGTCCGATGGCTTTCTTAGTGCGTAGAAATTGGATATCAAGATTTCAGAGGAATTAAAATAAAAAGTAAGATTAGGAAATGCGCGGGCCACTCTAGATATAATAGTCGAGGGGGGTACTAATCCCTTCGCAGCTCATGAAGAGCGAAGCGGAGTGAGGCAGGGATATTGGTTGCCTTGGCGGGGAAATTTGCGGCTCAATTCGGTATTAGTACCTAGGTGTTACAGTATGAACTATGTAATTTAGTATCGATGTTCTGGCGGCATCTAATAGGCTTCAAGTATTCCGTACAGCACATTGCAATTGTATCCCTCATTGCTGTACAGTACAGTCAAAGTACATAAGACAGGCCTCTCAAGAGACTCAAAAACAAGCGGAGCGCAGCACAGCCTCATTGGAATGAAACCGACCGATGAAGCACATATGCACAATGATGCATATTGAGAAGGGAATTCAACACACACAGCCCCCATTCCACTTTCCCACTTCCGCAGAGTGATGAGGTGATGAGAGGGGGAAATAACTCCGCCCGCTGAGAGCTTGGACAAAGAACTTGAACAGAAGACCCACCTTTGTATTCTATTCCGAATGATTACATACCCGCCCCATTCTAGCGCATTGAAATCTGCAGCCATTGGATCTAGTTGATTGTCTTGTGGTATGTTGCTCTATGGCCTTGTTCCCTGTCCCCTTTCCCCCTTTTTTTGGCTGCATTTGTTTATGTTTATTGTGCTTGATACATGAAAATGGTATCGAAAGTGGAGTTCCCATGGTTTCCTTCCGGGGCCGCTCTCGTCCCACGGTTCCACCATTGTCAACACACCCACAGTTAGTAACCTTATCTTGAGCCCGGGGTTCCCCAGCCTTGAATACCTAGGTAGTACCAGCCCATCGGTAGCAATATACTACTACCACGCGCGCCACGCTTTTACAACAAAGACTCCATCTCCTCCCTCTTCTCTTCTCTCACCGTAAGATAGGGCATCAAAAAAAGAGGGGTCCCTCCAATCGGGGCGCTTTCGCCTGATCATGGGATCCCTACGGACAACAAGGAAAGGCTCGGCAAGTGCCGGGTACATACCGCGAATACCCTCTGCCTTGTCGTACCGAGTACATAGAAATACATTGCGGATCATGGTGTTCGTCTGGGAGAACACGAACCTCCCGAGTCTCGGTAGTGCAAGAGGAACGCAAGGACCCCCGTTCCCGAGTATGAAAGAGTGAGGCGAATGGTACCCCGTAGTGCAAAGAGCCGTCAATGACTGCGGATTCCACGTGAAACTACCGCGATGCTCTTGAAACGTTCACCGAAGATCCCGCGCTGTCTCTTGACCACGAGTTCGTCGTTTAGACTCGTCCATACAGAAGACAGAGTACTTTTGAAGCTGGTATTGACAGGGAAGTCACTTGATCTCTTTTTGTCGGACCCCCTCTCCCTGTCAACCCGATACTTGCACTAGTATTAATAACAAGGATACATTTGGTTATACCTCTAGGTACGCCATACCGACTAGGACTAGGACTAGGACAAGGATCGCCCCGAACTTGAAGCGGTGACATCACCCTTCTACAAACGACTACTAGCCCGATCTCAGTCTGTGGGATTTGCACTAAGAAGATCGTGGGGATTTTCTCCCTCCGATTCTGTCAAACAAATACATAGAATCCGCAGCCTCGTGTTGGTCAGTACAGGGTCGCGTAAACATTCCTTCCCGGTTTGGGGGACAAGATGTCGAACTGAAAGATTGGCTTGCGGTCGGGGAATGCGCGACGGGCCTCGGGGAACACTCACAGTACTTCCAGTGATCAAATGTCCCTGTCGGGCACTTTGTAGTGGGGCGGCACGATGTCGGGTGGTTGGTTGATGAGTGAGGCGTGAGGGGCGCAAGCAGACCTAGTAAAGATGGAACTAGAGGAAAGAAAAGTGGAAGGGGGAAAGGGGAATTGGGGGAAAAGCGCCCAATTCTCTAGATTGACCTCCTATTGTTGGATCCACACCGCATCATCGCGAGAAAAGAGACGGAAATGATTTTTTTTTACAAAAAAAAATCATAAAAAAAAAAAAAACCTTTTCGCCCTTCTGACAATCTCATCGGCCGAACCGGGATAAGTATTGGTTTGAGACAAACTGCAATTACGGAGTACGATTGAGACCTACAGGATAAAATAACCATCGCTCTTTTGAGTGGAGAGAGAGATTCTAGGTATAATTAACTTCTGCCACGCCAGTGTCTCTTCAACGGGGCCGAGCTGGGCTGCACTGATAACCGCCAATAGGAACTGCTCAATTCGCGAAGGCTTTGAACAAAATTTTCCCTTACGGATCATCTGGTCCCATGGTCATTGCTGACACGGACCCGGATTTCCCTGATCGCCCTAATCACTCTCCCGGATGATACGGACTGGCATTGCGAGGGAAAGACAAGACCTTGTTTGGTGGCTGTTACAAACAGCCAAGATCAAGCCAAGAGTGCTTTTCGTCCTCGGCCACGCATACGGGCGATCTTTCTGCGTGCATCAGTGCTCATCTTGAGTAATTTGTACGACTTCGTACTCGCCCGTGCGCCCTGGATGCCGATGATGGCTGGCAGTCGTCAGCCCTACCAAGCAAGACGCGTGTTTACAAAGCATGCAAGTAATTCAAATCGCCGGCCGTCGTACTCTGTAGATCTTTGTCCATCCTGGAACGGAACAGTCGTGACCCACTCGTCGGCCCGCCAAAGTAAAGATGCAATGCGTGAAACTCTCCTGTATACACAGGGACCGGAACTCCCAAGGTTCCGGGGAAGTTGAGATCGTGACTAGTGAATCCGCGTACCGACAAGATGAAGACCTCTAAGTCCCGTAGTGTACTCTCTTATAATTATGTACGTATTTGTATCTGTCTCATGACTCCTTTTTTTCCCCCACAGTTCCCTGTGGGAGAGTTTAAGATTTACAATTATTGAGATAGAAAGAAAGGTAAGAAAAATGAATGCTAGAATTGCAGATAAAATCACAAAGCGCGCCAGTGTAGGCTTCTATCTCTATATCATAATGTTTGATGACGGTTTTTCCCAAAGTGGATCGCAATAAGAACAGGGGGGAAAGAAAAAAAAGAGTAAGAAGAAACAGAAATAGAAAGAGGGGAAAGGGAAAAAAAAGGAAAGCAGAAAATCAAACAAAAATCAGTTGAAAACTCTGCAGGGAAAAGCAAAAAGGCGGAGGGTGAGAAGCAAAAAAAAAAGGAAAAGAAAAGAGAAAAAAAATAAGCAAAAAATAGCAAAAAATGGCAGAGTAAAGGAAAAGCAAAAAAAAAAAAAACTTCAAAAACACGAATCGAAGTGACAGACCCTTTCATCAATCGACGGCTCCACCTGGTGGGGCCCGGGCAAGAAGGGCGAGGGACCACCCGACTTCAACAAGTGAGCCTTGCCCATATACCCAGTGCCAAAGTGAGAAATCATCGAGTCCCCTGGCTCCAACTTCAACTTAATCGCTAGTAACGCCCATCAATCCCATATCCATACACCCATCGATCCCGTGTCTGTAATATGTCCCAGTAATATCATGTCATGTCATGCGCCTTCACAGTTGTATAGTATACCGCCAATCTATCAAGTACAATCTTCGCCCCCTCGTGTTGTGTGGAGTAGAGTGGGAACAATTAACGTCCACTACTAGTAATGCTGGCCGGTGTCCAGTGATCTGCACGCGAAGGGCTTCCCAGGTACATTTCAAGCATGGGTGATTTGCCCGTTTTTCTTTTGGCAGTCGGTCGGCGATGGAGGTGGTGTTCGGGGATGTCATGGTAATGGTGGAGCCGCCATAAGGAGGGTTCTGGGGGGGCCCACGCGCCGATGCCGGACCTTTGCCACACTTTATTAGCAGTGCTTTTGTAGGGAAATGGGTAAGGGACGGGAAGAGAAGGGGGGGGCTAGGGGTGTGATTGAGCTGAGGTCAAGATCGGAGGATTTATGGTTGCAGTGGTGCGTCTGGGGTATAACTGGGGTGGCGCAAGTTTGGCAATCGCTTGAGTACTTACATGGAACTCATGTTTGGAGATCTGGGGGGGGAATAGGATGGTAATCGTCTGTACAGGACTGCAATGGTCCTCGGTAGGTCTAGAAGGCTCGTGGCAGCGAGTAGGAATCGAGTAGAGCGTGTGGTATAATGGTACAATGGAAATGAAGAGAGATTTGTATTCACACAAGTGTGTAACGTGTTTGAGAACTGTAGATGCTGTTTGGAGAGAGACGGAGGATGAGCAGTTTAAAAGCATTTCAGTATTTGTCTCTGACATCCAATTCCATCAGCATCGCCGCCTATTTTCTCTCAACCCGGGCTTTTTGCACCCTTCGTTCGCCAGGGTTCAACCTCACTCATCATGAGGGTATGGGCTTGAGGGGGGGGCACATCAACCCAGTGGACATAAAGTGGAGTCTCGCAAATCAATGGGTAGCTTCCAGAAGGTTTCAGGGCAGACAGTTGCCTCTGCGAGACTAGGCTGAATTTGAACGAGATTCAATGACATAGGGACAAGAAGGGTTTAATTTTATTATTTTTAAAATGATTTTAATGGTTTTATTATTTTTCTTGCATTTAATTTCCATTATTTTCGTCGAGATTGTGTCAAATTTCTTTTTTTTTCCCCACTCGATTTATGACGATAAGCCCATAGGCCAATGCAGCCACGCGCCGAGGGAAGTGGGCAATTAGAGCCCAGGACCTACTGTTCACCTATTATGGAGTACGGTGGTGCGAACCCACTATGTGGCACGGAGGGTTGGAGGGTTGGGGTTGCCAATCACCATTACCCTTGCCACAACCCGGGGGTGTCAACCCCAAACCCAATTCTGAGGGTTCGATCGGCCGCATGCGTGACCGCAGGAACGAAGCAGGGAAAGTCGGTGTAAAATCGTAAAATCTACGCGCATCAGGAAGGGGAGGATTGTGGCGTCAATCTCAGATAGAATATCTGCATTGAGGATTCGTTGGTGGCTGCTAGACTGCTGGTATTCCTCGGTGGGAGCCTGGCAGCCTAGAAGATCTTCGCCCCGGTCCTGGTGAAAACCGTTGGCTGTGGCGGTGAACTGGATGACATGAATCATTCAACTCACTACAGAGCATTAATCGGAACTACACCCATAGCCTGGGTATTCAACTCTCTTTTCTAAGCCTCGCATCCTGGGTTTTGTCAGAAAGTGGAAGGGTCTTCTATACCCATCCGCACGAACCCTCTCCCGGGGCGGAATATCCATTCCCTGCGTTAATACGGTGGCAGATTTACGTCGCAAGTGTGGCGACGCAATTCTATGTAGTAATAATGTACGGAGTCAGAATTCTGAAACGAAAGGCTGCAGCTCGAAGCCCCTAGTGCTTGTCTCATGGCCAGAGGACCGAGTACAAGTACATACACCTCAAGGCGGACCCAGGAGAAAGGGTCACATAACCCGCCGCTGTGGTGCCGACGCGGTGCAAGGAATGCGAGAACGGTGGTCCAGACTTTTCTTCGCGGCGGGATCTGCAGTCGAGAACAATTCTACAGGACATTCCACATATGCGTGAAACTGCGTGGAACTGCAGGATAACTCAGTGGGGGAATTGACTGGCCACAGCGCATGCCCTACCTGGCCAGGAGAGGGGTATGATAACAAGAAAGTAAGCCACCGAAAAAAAAATCAATAAAAAAATAATAAATAATAAAAGCTAATCGACAAAAGAAATATGAGTGCCAAGTGGAAAATAGAAAGAAAAATTCTAGAAGGAAGAAAAAGGAAAAAAGAAAAAAGGAAAAAAAGAAAAGACAGACAATCGACCCTGGGTGGACGCCATCATAACGAAAAAGATCGACAGACTAACGCCCAGACCCTCGTGCCCCATCCTGTCAGCTGGGAAAAGAAAAGAAGAAAAAAAAGGAAATAGTTGGGATGGGCCACAAAAAGGGACCTTCAAAGTGAAACGGTTCAAAGTAGAGAAGGCAAATATTTCATGCGAACTATTTCTTCAAGTAGATATGTCATATTACTATATCATGATATCGTGGGCAGTGCTAAAATGATACCTTAAGGTACTAAGGTACCTAGGTAAACATGAACTCCATAGTCAACCTTGGACTCCACTTGCACAGCCACCTAGGCAGACCAGCCACAGGAGGCTGATGTGTGGCTCATGCGAGAGTGCGGGGTCTGGAATGGTGCAAAAGAAGAGATAATTCAATAGTTCTTTCTTTCATTTCCTTTCATTTCCTTTTCCCTGTTTCTTTGTTCAAATCCACTCCCTCGCAGCCACTAACAAAAACAGCGCAACGCCGCGTCGCCCATCAGTCAACCTCGGAGGTATCTACATATGTCCGTATACGAGTATCCTATTTTTATTTTTTTATTTTTACAGAGCATACCAAATTGCTTTTTACTAGTACCCCGACCCCTATGACTGGGATCGCCTGCCAATTCGAGATCGAGTCCGAGTACTCCGTACTCCACGGCTCACTGGCACTGGCAGTGGCACAACGGTCACGGTCCCGGGGTCTAAGCTTGGAAGGAGGCGCGTCTATACTTCCATAGATGTACAGAGCCAAAGAGAAAATCGGCCCAAAAGGTCAAAAATAGCCCCAAACCCGAGGCCCCCACCGCTCGGTCGTTTTTTCTCCTTCCTCAAACCGAACTTTCTTCCGATGACATCTAGTCAATCGTTTCGACGGGATGGGATAGCATGGAAGGTGACGCAAACGTGTTCTTCCACCGATATGCATGCCGGCGCCAGACCGGACAGATAGGCAGGGAGATACCAATCCCGAGGTCCACTTCGACGATCGGCACGCCAATGTATTGTACAGTAGTCAGCTAGTCATGGTGTCTGTTGTGTCTTACTAGCCTAAGCCCAATCTCCCATCCCCCTCCCCAAATTACTCCGTACAGCAGGAGAGAGAAAAATTCGACGCACTGCGGCCCTGTGTAGATGACGCCGTTGGCTAGGACGGAGTACTGGTACCACTAACCAACGAGTTAATACTCCGTGCTTTGTATCATGTACATGCGTACACACTCGCGGTCGGGCAAATAGCCCAACTCAGGTCCGACGCACGACGCAGATGCAGGCACAAAGTCACACAGGTGGTTGCAGGAGGGGTTTCCTTTCTCCTGCCGACTGGACTGGGTGGCAAACCATCCCCACGTCGAGATTCCAGATCGACTCTGGGGAATCTGCCGTTTGAGGCTTTTATTTCTTCTCTTCTCTCCACTCTCCACTCTCTTCTTCCGACAGGCTTGGCGATGTTGTTGGTCGGACACATTTTTCCCAGATAGTCCAGTCGCGCAGGTTCCTCTGCAAAAATGGCCTTTGGTCACCTTCCCATTTTCATTTCACTGTTATCTCCCCGCTGAAGTAATAATAATAATTAAAATAATATGAGTATTATTGTTTGTAGCAGGAGCCTTTCCAAGTTTTTCATTTCACTTCATTTTTCTAAGATTGCGTCTCCACCAGAATCGTGGTGATCTCCGATTAGTTTGTGCCCCAGATATTAAACTTCCTATAGTACCGGCTTGCCGCACCGACGCAGCTCGTTGCTGCTAACTTTTTGGTCGAAATTTCGGGGTTTACCCTGGGATGATTGGTGGTATTGAATCTGGATTACTGATGGTGAACAGTAACCAGTACAGAGTAAATACTCGGTACGTACAACAAGATGAAACAGAGTGAAACCGAGGAAAGCAAAAGTTTGAAAGAGACAATCTGTCCCCTGTCCTCCTGTCTTCTCTGCTAAGTAAAGGCGGCGAGACAGCGATGGCTTGAGCCTCCAATCATTATGTCAAGTCCGATCTGTCCGACTGTTTGACCCTTTGCCCGCCCTTCCATAACGTAATCTCCTAGTAGATACCGATAGCCCCGTCATCCTACCAGTAGCACGGAGTAATTAGAAACAAATCAAGTTGATCATTTGCACTTGATCACACGCCCGACCCTGAGACGACACACCGCGCAAAGGTCGGTGTAGGTCGTAGGTAGCTAGTGGCAGTGCCGAAGCCAACTCAAGCTTGTGGAGGGGTCTGAGGACCACGACTAGACTTTCAATGATCTAGATTAATCGGAGTGCCAGGGGACCCTTTCACCTTAGTCCTTGCTGTCACACTGAGGATCACTCCACTTGAGGGGTGTATGATCTCATTGCAAGCGTGACCGCTGTAGTAATTGACTCGCGGAGTTGACTAGCTAGAGCTAAGCCTCTTGAGCGTTAGAGCTGTCCAGCCCAGGTCTCTACGTCGATGGGTCTAGACTTTGAGTTCTAAGATATGAAGATGAAGCTGGCAAGGGTTGATCATGAATTCATTCGGTCTAGACCATTAGGCTTGTCTGGCGGCGCACCCTGTGAGCCTAAATATGCTACAGCTCCTCCAAACGACTCCGTAGAGCGGTCGAGATCGTTCTACTGAGGCCGGGGTAGGGCACTGCTTGCTGGTCGCGGAAATCGCGGGGGACAATTGTCCAAAGCAAGCGGTTGGAATCGGTCATCTACACTCGGTCTAGAACAATCCTGCAGGCCAAAGGCACACAGAGGCTCACTCGCCTAATATAGAAACAAGAAGGAAGATTAAATGAACTCGAAATTTTTGATTTTTGTTTCATTCGGGGAATCTATGCACAGGCGAGAGATGTGCCAGGGCATCAGAAGACCCTTCACGTGTCGTCTCATGCAGCCCAAGTCCATTCCAACCCCCGGGTGAGGGGATTTAAAAAAAGCGGCTGTAAACCCTTAACTGGAAAAACACCAAGCAACCACGCACACACCGAACCGAGCACCAAAACTAAACGTCGCTTAGATGTGGGTGTCGTAGGCGATGGGCACGACGGTCTCGGGGATGTTGTCGGTGAAGCTGACGGTGTGAGCCTCACGGGGAGCGACGGCCTGACGCTTCAGGTGAACGTGGATACCCTTCTCCTTGGCCTCCTTCTTCTTGAGGGCGTTCTCCTTGACGCGGTTGATGAACTCCTCGCGGGAGCGGGAGTGCTGGACGTGCTCAATGCGGACGTTGATGCGCTTCTCGAGGTAGCGGTTGTCGACACGCTTGTACAGGAGGACACCGACGGAGGACTTGGTCACGTTGTAGACGACACCGGTCTTGCCGTGGTAGACCTTGTGGGGCATACTATAATTTCAAAATGTCAATTTCCATGTGTCTTCAATATCGCAATGGCGAGCTGGATGTGTGATATGCCTCGTCGGAGAGAGGATAGTGGGGGTGTGCGATGGATGGGGGAAAATTTCGGTGGTACTGACCCCTTCTGGACGGCACCGTTGACCTTGAGGTCGACAATATCACCAACACTAAGAAAATTCGTTAGAATCCATGTTCCATCTTTAATCGTTTCAAATCGGGGAGTCTTGTTTGACGCTCGTACCGGAAGGTCTTCAGGTAGGTGGAGAGACGGATCATACCGTGCTCCTTGAAGTTACGGCTGAAGGCATACTGTCGGTCCAGGTGGTTAGCGATTCATATTCCCAACTTCAATATGGCGGGCCCAATGTCGGCGTTGGTGTTGAGGGGATGGAGAATTCGATAATTTCGACGGGGATAGATCGCAAACGTACCCGAGTGCCGGCGCGCAGACCGTACGAGTGAGGCATGACGGCGGTGTTGTCGTTGGTGCTTGTTGAGGATAATCGACACGGACAGCCTTCATCAAAAGATGTTCTTGGGCGGCGGAGACACACACTCGCCCGGCTGGCGAATGTGTGTCACATGACATAGGGTAGGGCAAGCCCCGTGACCCGCAACTCCCCAAAGCGGGTTAGCCTCGCTTAGGTTTCCGGGCAATGTGGATGAAGCAATTCGGCCCTCACCACTTTGATTCTGATCGATATCCCGCCGCCAACCTAGACATCCAGCAGCCATGGCCCCGTGAGTATCGACGAAGTCATTAGACATGGTCGCATCGTTCTAACCGTTGTTTTCTGTATAGTCGTGTCTACTCCAAGACCTACAAGGTCCCCCGTCGTCGTAAGTCAACCTCTGCGCAAAAAAACTCCCCAATCGCAAAAAAAATTACATTGAAGATCGCAAGACTAATTCTATCGCAGCCTTCGAGTCGGCCCGTCTGTTAGTACTCTCCGGCCACTGATCAGAAGCGTGCTTCTGGTCATGTCGTGTGTTCCAATACTAATCCCATAACTAGTGATGCTGAACTCAAGACCGTCGGAGAGTACGGTCTCCGCAACAAGCGTGAGGTCTGGCGTGTCCAGCTGACCCTCTCTAAGATCCGTCGTGCTGCTCGGTATGTGGAATATACATTCGGATTGCCATTGGGTCATCCGAAGACCCTCAGCCTAGTGAACATGTACTAACCTCTCTCTTCCGTTTAGTGAGCTGCTCACTCTCGATGAGAAGGACCCCAAGCGTCTGTTCGAGGGTAACGCCCTGATCCGCCGTCTTGTGCGTATCGGTGTCCTTGACGAGGGCCGCATGAAGCTCGATTACGTCCTGGCCCTGAAGACCGAGGATTTCCTTGAGCGCCGTCTCCAGACCTGCGTCTACAAGCTTGGCCTCGCCAAGTCCATCCACCACGCCCGTGTCCTGATCAAGCAGCGTCACATCCGTGTTGGCAAGCAGATCGTCAACGTTCCCTCCTTCATGGTCCGCCTGGACTCCCAGAAGCACATCGACTTCTCTCTCACCTCTCCCTTCGGTGGTGGCCGCCCCGGCCGTGTTCGCCGCAAGAAGGCCGCCGCCGCTGCCGGTGGTGATGCTGAGGAGGAGGAGGATGAGGAGTAAATTCTCTCACTCTAAAAAAGAAGACACGGGAGTACGGTCGGGTTTCGCTTTAGGCAGATCAACACTCTGGAATGTTCATGACGACTGCCGCATAGCCGCTTATGTATGCTTATGCAACTTGAATGAATCAAAAAACAGCCAGGCGGCTTCAATTCGAGACCCGAATCCTTTTGAAACAAATTGTTTTGCCCATGCACCACGAATTAGTTACGCCCTTTCATTATGTACAGTAGAAATAGTATACCCTCAACGCCTTTTCCCAATCTCCGATTCCCGTCATGTAGTCGTTGATAGCCGGAGGAACTTGTCGGTGCTGAGCCTCATCCCTACACCCCCACCATCTCCTTGAGTGTCTCTTCTGCCCCTCTGTACCACCGTCCCATCTCTTCCAGGCCATCACTCTCCCCTTGTTGCTTCTTCCGCTGCGCTTCCTGCGCTTGGGCAATAGCCTCTGCTTTCCGTCGCTCCAGCACGCTACATTCCCTCTCGATAGCTTCCGCTTCTCGAGTCTTGCGCGGCAACGTACTTTGGACAGCGGCGATCTGCCGATTCAATGCCGCCAACTTCGCCTCTCGTTCAGCCAACAGCGATAAAGTCGCTGGCAGCGGAAGATTTTGTGAAGACCGAGGGTCCGAAGTATCCATACCGGCGACCTGCTTCGCCTTGAGACCCGCAATTGTGGACTCAAGATTCTCGATGGACTCGGGAAGGGTCGAAAGCTGCGTCAATTGGACTTCGACGTTCTTATAGCCTATTGAGTACAACGTGCAACGCGGTTAGTTGAAAATAGCTCGTCGTGTACATTTTTTTTCTTTCTATTTGCGTTGGGATTGTCTTACGGGTGGCTAGGTCGCGGCCGATCTTCTCCATCTCTTCGATCATCAGACGTGCCTCTTCTTTTCGGGACTTGAGTTCTGCTTTCACGTCCGCCAATTGTGTTTCCAGCTCCACGTTCTCATTGTGTCCGACGACGAGGGGCGGGTCCCCAACGATTGCACGGAGAAACTTTTCCTTGGTGACCTGTTCGAGGTAGGAGAATCGAAGTTTGGAGAAGAGTTCCTGTGTTTTATCGAGAAATGATCAGTGACTGCACTGTTTGGGGAGAAGGGAGCTGGCGTAGCGGGTACCTTGTAGTGTGTTAGATCGGCTTCGAGAACTGCTGGTGTCGGATCATTCAAGTTGGACAAGGAGACGTCGGAGCCTCGTTTCGAAGGAGAGGCGATCAAGTCGCCAACATCGGAGATAGGCTCGCTAATGCGAATGATCGCAAGTTGTTGCTTTAAATCTCCTTGGTCTTGCGCGAGCTGCTGTAGCTCTGCAAAAGTGTCCGAGCCATTCGACATTTTCGGATATCGTTTTCGAGAAGTCTGGGTTATTGACAAGACAAGACGCAAGACTGTTGTTTGTTGGGAAATATTTGCGTACCATATGGGAGGACCGCGTCAAGCATCAACAATGTCTTCCCGCAGGGTCGGGGCAGTCCCGCGGGCTATCGCGACAGCTGATAACAAGGCGGCGGGGCTGGAACGAGACGGCAGAATCCTGGCAGGTGCCATCTTTTGAACAAAGCAGCCTCCACCACTTCGCCACACGGCTAGGCGTTTGTTTCTTTGTTGACTTCTTGCATTATGATGGTATGCTGGTAGCTGTCAGACGAATCTCTCTGGTTGCTATTTATCCGTTCTTTTTGCTGGTTTGATCTGTCACCACCCCGCACCCAATCATTATGGACGACGACTATGTCGCGCAGCTCATGGCAAAGGAGGCCGCAGAGAGCTCCAAGAAGTACTCACTGGAGGGTCTTGGGGCTTATAACTCGCAAAAGTATGCTCTATCTTACCCCCAACTCCAGTTGCTATTCAAAGAAACTGACATTTTTCAGACGATCTGTCAATGCGCCCAAAGCCAATACTCGGTTCCTCCGACATCTGATCAAAGAGACGGATAATCATAACACGGCCTTGAAACGGAAGGAGGAGAGAGATGCGCGGGAGCGAATGCGCCAGATGAAGGACCAGGGCACACGCGAGTCGAGTTCTCAGAGGCTATCACCAGCTCCTAGAGTTCATGAACGAGAACGCCACTCTAGCACGAGAGCCTCGGACCGATCCCACCGGGACGATCGTCGACATGACAGTCGACGCGATGATAAACGCAGTGACCAGAGCCGTTCCCACCGGAGAAGCCACCGGCATCGCAGTCGTTCGCCATCCTCGGACCGGGACCGCAGACATCGGCGAAGACACGACCGCAGCCGATCGAGAGATACCCATAGAGATAGAGAGCGCAAGAGTCGACGGAGAGACGACGATCGCGATAGATCTAGGGGAAGAGATCGAGAAGCAGAGGAACGACACAGTCACAGGTCAACGACTTACCAAAAGCGAACACACTCAAAGTCTCGCAGTCGTTCCCCACGTCGAGATCGAAGCGCTGAGCGTCACCGCAGCCGACGTCATTATAAATCCCCCTCCGGGCCCTCCGGGGCCCGATCATCAACATCAGACAGGAAAGAAGGACGACGGCCGCGGAGTGACAATAACACACGATCTTCCCACGAGTCAAAATACGCAGCTTCTCCCGATCCAGTCGACAAAATTATCAATAAACCCGAGCCTTCGATCCAGCGACGTGATAGGGAAGAATCAGACCCTCTTGAAGATATGTTCGGTCCTCTTCCGCCTCATACAAACGGGGAATCTGCTGCACCGGTTCGTTCGCGTGGTCGGGGCGCCTACAAAGCTAGCTCAAGCAATATCGACTCCCATTTCGCCGCAGACTACGATCCTACAGTTGATATCCAGCCCGATGATGACCAGCCATCGTCAAACCAGCCAACTAGACGCCCCGTTGCGGGCCTTATGACGGGGGAAGATGATTGGGACGCGGCACTTGAGGCCTTGCGTGACCGCGCAAAATGGAAACAGAAAGGAGAGGAGAGACTACGGGAGGCCGGTCTGAATGAAACGATTATTGAGCGGTGGAAAGAGAATACAGCCTCCACTGGAACGGGCGGGGAGAAGAGGCCGGAAGATGTACGATGGTCGAAGAAGGGGGAAGGCCGTGAATGGGATCGAGGCAAAGTCGTCGACGACCAGGGACACACAGATGTCCATGCCTTGTGGTAGTTCTTTCCGGTCGATGTGAAGAAGGTGTTGGTCAACGAATCGTGTAAGGTCGAGCTGACTCTCGGCCACTGGTGGCAACAAGGCTATTGTTATTATTATCGTGGGGCTCTTTTAGAGGCGTTCAAGGGGTTTATATACCAGGGCATTTGTGACAACAAGAATTTTAGCACAATTATCAATAACCATCTCGTATTTGTCCCTACATGTATTTTCTCAACTCGGGTGCAATGCATCTACTTCGCTATACTACGTGCTAGAATGTATGATCACGTGATATAGATCCATTCCGCGGCTTTGTCAGAAAGTGCGGAATTGGCCCCTCCGCGGTAGGTACCCAAGTACCCTATGGTGGGAGCTTCCTCTTTACTGACGACATCGCAGACATTATTGGTTTCTAATGCTTAGGCAGCAGGTCATCAGCATTCAATTTCCGATTGATTAGATTTTTGTCTTTGACTAATTACACAGTCTTATCTACTCCGACCTACAACGATAATTTAGAATATATACTTTAGCCGCCGCTATCCAGAACGTTTGCCACAAACCACCAATATAACTCCGAGTTTGAGACCAACTTTCAAGGTTGACGTGACCTGTGAATTCCTCTGACCTCCAGCTCTTGAACTTGAAGCCCCTTCAAAATGGCGGATCCCTTCAGCTTCTCCTACCCCTCCCCACTGGAAGGCTATGAAAACCTAGAGCCACTATCCAAGTGAGTCTACTACCTAGCCTAGGTACCTACCTAGTCAGGTACATCCATGGATGATAATCCCACAAGCCAAAGACCACTAACCACCCGGCATTTTTAGCGAACGCAACGAAGACGGAAAATCCCTCAAGAACCCCCAACATGGAAAGCTGAGCAAAGCCTACGAGGAATTCCCCGACCCTCTCAGCAAAGATATTCGTGGTGGTTTCGACATTCACATCTACTATTTCCAGGTGAGCATCACTCGACTGCGCCGTATCGTGGGCACGAGGGACTTGAATACAACAACCGGCCATTCCCGAGGTCAGAAATACCATACTGACACGAAGACTCCATCAGAATAACCCCAACCAAGCAACCTTCGCAAAAGCTCTCCATGAACGAATTCGTCGTGAATGTCAGTGCCCCCCCCCCCCCCTCCCGACCCACCCCCGCAATTATCTGCCATGACAAAGGGCCCGATGCAGCACAGTAGGGTACGTGTATGTGATTAGTACTAAGGAAACAAACAGTCCCCGAGCTCCGAATCTATACCTTCTGGGACAAACCCATTGGACCACACCCAGTCGCCATGTTCGAAGTCAATCTTTTCACGCCCGCGCAGTTCGGTGCTTTCGTTCCCTGGTTGGTGATCAATCGGGGCCCACTGAGTGCGCTTTTGCACCCCAATACGCTGGAGGAAGGGGCTGCGGAGGAGGAGAGGAACCACACGCAGCGGGCGACTTGGCTGGGAGAGCGGATCCCGTTGGATTTATCTCTGTTTAAGCTTTTGAGGGCGAAAGAGATCGAGGAAGAGGAGAAGCAGGGGAAATTGTGAGGCGAAAGTTGATCGATAAATATTGAAGATTTTCGGTATTGGCCATCGTGCTATTTCCCCCCCCTTTAAGTGCGTATTCTTGGAGTTAAGCTTGAAGTGCTGAGGTGTTTGTTTTGGCGCTATGGTTGGCTTGTAGTTGTTGATTTCAATGGCTGACTTGTAAGTGGAGTATGATTGGTCAGGCTCTTTCACATTGAAGCTGTGTCCCAGATGATACTATTAATTACTGCGTATAACCTTTTGCATATATTCGAACATAATACATAGTCTAGGGTTACTTCCAGCCCTTGTTGTATTTGTGATGATCGTGGCAGATGACCCCCGCTAGGGCCATCTATGATGTCCAAGTCTCCTTCAGCCCTATCATCCGATCAGATGCAGAATTAATGCAGTTTGCCCGTGCAATGCCTATTGGACACTATTCACTTGCCATTCCGAGATGGGCATATGCTCCTAGTTCTCTCTGTCGCCCGCATGGGAAATTCGTGCGGGATGGCAGTGGCATTCCAGGGTATCCCTTAATAGGCTGCCACGCGTGAGGTCTTGAATATTTTCCTTCGCACACACTCAGACTCTAGAATCACAGCTGCCTTTTTGGACGAGCTCAAAGAGACTCGATGAGCCTGATGAGACTCATGTTGTTAGCTGAACAGAGAAAGCCTGGAGGGAGAGACGTGACGCTACCGAGAATCGCCCCTGCCGCGCCTCTCCCTTCTTTGCAAAGGTATTCTATTCCCTCTGCGATTTTTCCCAAGTTTCTTCGGAATTAAGAGAGTACCGGACTCTTCACATGGTCGAGCTCGCACTCGCTATTTGGCGACGACTGGTGGGTGGAGAGGCGCGTGCCGCCTGGGCGTGACACCAAAGGCTCCCATGCTAACACATACGATTCTAGATAAAGAGTCGAGAACTCGTTAAAACCCAGTATTTGACTTGAGATCAATGCTGCGATCCAATTTCCTGATTTACACAATGCATCTGATTACGCGGCTGGCGCTTGTGGCGCCGCTGGCAGCTCTGCCTTTCGTTCCGTCCGTTTATGCCGCAACTATCCCGCAGTATGTATACGACTACGGTAAGTACTTCGAAACAGCAGTACAAGGGGGTTTACACCGCTAGTACTGATTTTTTGCAGCACCTGTAATCTGGTTACATAGCCAGGATCCATACAGGCCTAGCGATCTACAACAACAACTAGACCATACCACCCCGCAGGTGAACTGGACGACTATCGCGAGCGCGCCGTTGCCGCTGACGCTGGATAATCTCGACCAACTCAATGATCTGGGAAACACGAGTGTTTACCTGACCTCGCACGAGGGTATTGACGCGAGTCCGGAACCGGCTTGGTTTCGAGGGATCACCCCGGATAAGCAGGGCCGTCTGACGGATGGGTCTGGGAGTGTGATCGTCATGGTAGACCACGGCAGTGGCAACGTCGATGCGTTCTACTTTTACTTCTATGCGTACGTCATTTATACAATGTGCCATGCAATGGGATGACAAGAGGGAAAGGAACCCCCACTGACTGGAATCGCAGATACAACAAGGGCGACAAGGTGCTTGGCTTGGAATTCGGCGATCATATGGGTGATTGGTAAGTGCGAGTGGCCCTGCTCAGCCACCACAAAGATTAGAGTATAGAACAAGCATATCTGATGCCCAACCGAAACAGGGAACACAATATGATCCGCTTCTCCAACGGCGCCCCACAGGCTATATGGTACAGCCAGCACGCCAGTGGCCAGGCGTTCACCTACAAGGCAGTGGAGAAAAAGGGAATCCGGCCATACTCGTACTCTGGAAATGGCACGCACGCTAACTATGTTATTGCCGGGTATATGGTTCTTTCTGCAAGCCCACCCTGAAGCATACTAACTCATTGTTATAGAAAACACGACCATACAATCCCCGGCGTCAATCTCCCGAATGGGTTCCTTGTGGACTACGCAGACCGCGGTCTTGAGTGGGACCCTGTTTTCAATGCATACTCTTATACGTATAACACGACGACTCGCATCTTTGAAGCAGCGAGTCCTGGCGCCCCATTGGGGCTGGTGAACTTCAACGGGAAATGGGGAGACGACCAGCCGCCTGGGGAACCGTCAATCTTTGGCGAGGCGAAATACATGGCTGGGCCGAATGGGCCGAAGTTCAAGGGTCTGGATCGGAAGCATGTGTGTCCGAAGACTCCTTGTATTGTTCTTCCGTTTAAGATCTGGGTGGGGAAGGAGTGAGGGAATACAGCGTAGATGATCCTACAATGGTTGATGGCTATTATCATTATACCTAGAGGGGACATTTTAAGAGTTAAGAATACACTATGGTCCCATCTCGTCTCCGTATCAATACGAAATACAAATCCAAGCTCGGGCCTGAGATTAGACATAAGCTATCTAAGGTGTCCCGAGGTCCAAGTAATCGGTTCCAATGGAACGAACTTGAACTAGCTAGGCCAACACCCCCACATCCAGCCCGAGCCCGAGAAGAAGAAGAAAAAAAAACAAAGGCAAAAAAAGCACCCAGTCCCAAGCCAAGGCACGAACACTAATTGCAAGCTCTGCAAATTTCACCAAACTAGCACTCGCTAACCACGAGCAGTCTCAATTCCCTCGTCCCTGCCCCACCGACTCCACAGTTGGAACGTGCGTTTCCACGCGAGGAGGCGTTTGCGAGAACGAAAAGATGTCCTGTCGTATTTTGTCTACAGAGGGATAAACAACTTGAGGTGTACCGTACGGAGTACTAGTACATACAGACTAGTTTACCCAGGGCAGTGGGCGAGTCGCGTCCCAGACTGGATGGTTCCGCGGGTGCGGCGCCCCACGTTGGTGCAATATGCGAGGGATCGCGCGTGGAAGATCTATGCGAGGTTATCGGGTATATACTCCGTTCCGTGGATGCTAGATGTGATTTTGCGTTAGCTACCTAGGTAGTAGGTAGTAGCTGTTAGCTAGACGTTGGTGAGCTTATGTAGTGAGCTGAGTTCTCTTGAGATGAATGCCATCCGGCGATTCGCCCTGGCGATGTCCCATACTCTCTATCTCAGGCTGCTCTACTCGTACCATATTTCACAACTTCCACCAATTTGAAGTCAACACGATTGGCAAATTGTTAAATCGAGGATGGACTATTCTCCATGTCACAAATTGGTGTTTTAGATGTTGTCAACCTCAGCTGCCCACTAGACTTTTCGCCCCGCCCCAATTTTAGGCCTGGTAAGCTCGGTGAGCCTGACCATAGGTAAGAAATGACTGCTAGTGCTGCTAGCCCCATCGGATATGCTCCGACTCGGCCGTGGTTCGTTCAAGAATTATCCTTACTGGATGAGGAGACAGTACCTCACGGAAGGAGAGAGGTGATATCTGATCCGCCTTCCTCGCAGACCCTGTCACAGACCCTGCCACATGGCCCCAAAGCCCCGAAGGGAAACTACCCGGAGTTAGGAAAAAATGAAAAAAAAGAGCCAGAAGGAAAAGAAGAGCGCCGATCGCAGTGGAGTAAACGGCCCCTGGCGTCCGTTGTGCACGAGCCAGTTTGGGAGAGGGCAGGGTAGACTCATGCAAGTACGGAGTACCCGATGGCAGTGCCGAAGGTGGCAAAGTATGAAGAATGCAGGAGTAGATCATCAGGAATAAATGGAGTACATAGGATGGGATGTGTATTGAATCAAGAGTAGGAGAAAGGCAAAGACAAAGGCAAAGGCAAAGAAAGGCCAAGGTATCCCGCGTGGAACGAACCGGCAGTCCTCCACTCACACCAAGTGGGGCATTTCTTGGGCCTCGACGCGCTCTCTCGTTTTACGTTTTACGGAGTACGGGTTTTTACCCCTGAATTTCTCAGCTCGAACCATGACCTGTCATCTCGTGCGCGAGATACATCATCTTCCTCGTGGGCCAATCCTTTCTACGTACACACGAGGGGGAAAGTATAAGGCAAACTGTGCTCCAATGGCGATAGCAATGGCAATATGGTCATGACAATAGCAATAGCAATAGTAATGGCAAGCTGGCAAGAGGACTGTACTTGATTCGTAGTAGATTCATGTTATGACCATAACCATAACCATGTATGACCATGACCGCCTCCGCATCGACTGGGATCATCTTTGTACTTCGTACCTCTCCTCCTCTTCTTCTTCTCCACGCCACTCCTTTCCCTTCTCTCTTTTCCCCTCTTTTCTCTCCATGCGCCGCTAGAGTCGGACGCTGTGAGCAGGCCCTTTCTCAATCTTCTGAAAAAAAAAAAAGAACAAAAGCCAAATACCCACCATACAGAAGACCCCAAACCCGGCTGCCCGGATTTCAATTCTGCCCTTCCCCTATCCCCCCCCCCGTCCTCCAGTAGCGACGCCCTGCGACAACCTCACACTGGCTGGGAGCTCTGTGTCGCCATCTATCCCTCACTTTCACTTTTTGATTTTCCCACTCATTTCTTTTGATTTGATTCGATTCAAAACAATCCGATTAGGCCTGATCTGATCCCTCACACCCGACTATATCCATATCCAACTGTGAGGCCCGATACCGACGGATTGAATCTCGTACGGTATACTCTCAGACCTGGATTTATTTCAAGAATTGCATTCTTGAACCCTTGACCTAGTCAATCACTTTCCAAATTCCATTTGATATCGAATCTTCGATAACAAAAGTAATTGTGTAAGTGGTGATGATATTCCCCTCCCAAGATACCCCATCTTCTCCCCTCCATGCGCGATCCCTGCATCAGAGAGGAACTATTCAGGCAATGTTAGAATTACTGACTAATCAGGATCAAACCTACAGGAAAATACCTCGTTTTGTATAGCTCGTATCAATCCCAGCATTAAAAACAACCATGTCGACGCCCACTTCCTCGCGCGCGCCTTCCGATGCGGTGCCGTCGGAAAACGGCCAATCCCTCAATGCCCGCCGCACTTCACTCGGCTTCCTTCGTCGTTCCAAATCTACCGAACCCCTCAGCGAACGCAAAGCCTCCGGTAGTCGCAAGAAGAAGTCTCAAGCTATGGAGGAAGAGATGCGCCGCCAGCGTGATTCTTACGCCCCCAAGATCGCCCCACGCCTGCCTGATCTTCCCCCTCCACCTCAACTCGAAACTTTTGGTGGTGAGGAACGTGACACTCTTGGTGCGCCTCCTCCTGTGCCTCGCCCGCAGTCTGGATTCGCTGCTCCTTCGGTCACTTCGCCCACCGAGTCTGTCGATCCGTATGCGCGCACCGAGAGCATGACCCACCGTGGGCGCTATAGCTATGCCAGCAGTGCCGTGAGCGCTACAAACAACCCCCGCCGTGTCCGTCGCCGCAAGGACCCAACATCATACAAGTGAGTAAATCCGGACGAATGAACGAGAAATTTGGTGAGGTAGTAGACCTTGGGACTAACATCAGTATAGTGTTCTGGTCATTGGTGCCCGCAACTCCGGAAAGACCTCTTTCCTCAACTTTCTCCGCAAGGCATTGACCATGCCCCCACACAAGCATCCGTCCCGCAGCCCCGAAGAGCTGGAGGAGCTGGAGAGCCAGACCTCCGCCTACGAAGGATTCACTTCCCAGTACCTGGAGACCGAGATTGACGGAGAACGGGTCGGACTGACCCTGTGGGATTCCAACGGAATTGAGCGCAACATTGCGGATCTGCAGCTGCGCGCCGTCACCGGATTCCTCGAGAGCAAATTCGAGGAGACTCTCGCCGAGGAGATGAAGGTCGTGCGTTCGCCCGGTGCGCGCGACACCCACATCCACTGCACTTTCTTGCTGCTGGACCCTGTTCGTCTGGATGAAAACATAGCCGCTGCTGAGCGCGCCGCCAACGGCACCGCCAAGGCTACTGATAGCCCCGTCCTGGGAGTTTTGGACCAGAACCTTGACCTGCAGGTCCTGCGCACCATCCTGGGAAAGACCACTGTTGTGCCGGTCATCAGTAAGGCGGATACCATCACCTCCGTCCACATGGAATACCTTCGCAAGGCGGTCTGGAACAGCCTGAAGAAGGCCAACATTGACCCGCTGGAGATTCTCAATTTGGAAGACATGGAGGAGGATTATACCTCGTCGGAGAGCGCAGATGAGGAGTCCATTGCCGAGGAGCAGGAGAAGACCGAAGGCGAGGGAGAGCCGACCGAGACCGAGACCGACAGCGCCATCGACGCCGAGACTCAGGAACAAGCAGCCGCCGTGCCCGCTCCCAAGTCACCCTCCGTGCGCAGTGTCAGCACGCGTGCTTCGCAGCAGATCATCAACCCGCACGTCCCCTTCTCGATCCTGTCGCCAGACCCACACTCGCTTTCCTCTGGCGAACTGCCGCTCGGTCGGCGCTTCCCCTGGGGATTTGCGGGCCCTTACGACGCGGAGCACTGCGACTTTGTTCGCCTGAAGGACTCTGTCTTCAGCGAGTGGCGGTCTGAGCTACGCGAGGCGAGCCGCGTGGTGTGGTATGAGCGCTGGAGAACCAACCGACTCAACCGCAATGGCGGCCAGTCTGCACCGCGGGCATCCAAGTCGTATGGAGGTCGCACGGGACCATCGAACCCTTATGATGGTCGCCGTACCCGATAGATAACAATCGTACTCGCTGATTTCGGCGTGTATTGACTCGACTCACTCGCTCGACTCACTCGACTCTATTCGATTCGCTTCGCTTCTGTTCGCATAGCTTGCTCTTTCGCACATACCCACTTTCACCAGCTTCTTTCCTCGATGAGGACTCCTTTTTTGTGTTTTTTTTTTCTCCTTTACTCTTACTGATACTACTACCTCTTTTTCTCTTCTTCTTCCTCTTCTCCTTCCAAAGGGCATATCCTGTATTTTACTCGAGTTCAAGGATCATTGTTTGGAGCCCATACCATACCATTAAAAGTACCCTAAGGTAACTGTAATAATCATAATAACTGTAATAATCATATTGTAAGACTGTAATACTTGGCGTGTCGCCCTACGAGCGCCTGCATAGAGTTGGACCCGCCGCGGCCAATCAAACTTCTCTTCAGCTCAACTTTTTGGGGGCCGGCGCATCGAGTCCTTCAGCTCGGGGGAATACGAGAGGGGGACAAGAGAGTGTAAGAAAGAGCCTCGATCGGCTTCTTTGTCCTTGTTCCTTTTCTTTTCATCTCACCTCCCTTTTCTTTTCCATTACCTTTGTTCCAGACTGTGACTCCGACTCTGCCATTACCTTTTTCTCCCCACCGCGGCACATGTCTCGATAGCATCGGCACACAAACTTTCTCCCCCCCCGCAGTCGCACGAGTCTTCTAGGTCGCACGCTGATAGCCGAGCTCAGTCCTGAACTCCTGACTTGATCCGACCCCCTTCCTCTCGAAAAGGTGAATTGGCTGCAATTTGACTTCGATATACTTCAAATCAACAAATCTCCTGATCCGGCCGAACCCCACCATCTGGACCCTGGATCACAATGTCTCTCCAGGTGAACGACCCACGGTCGCGCACTCGATCCAAGTCCCCTGGGCGTGAACGTTCAAGATCACGGTCGCGCGACAGTCGAGTCCCTTCTCCCTCGCCCTCTGGCCGTCCACGCGATCGCGATCGTGATCGTGACCTTGACCGTGACCGCTCGCCGGCCATCGAGGTTCGCGGTCCCAAGTCTACCACCAATTACGCCTCGGAGGACGACGCCGAGATCGAGCGTCAATACAAATTGCTCAAGGACGGCCGTCTCCGCAATGATGACTCGCGGGATGTAGTTTCGCGTGCTCCTCGTAGCCCTGCCCCCTACGATGTGCGTCGTTCAGACGACGAGGACAGTGACCGCAGACGTCGTGAAGGCACATCGTCGCGTCGTCGTCGCGACCCTCACCAGGATCGCTACGAGCATTCAGACAAGGAAGATGATCTGAAGCTGATCCAGCCGCGCGAGTACGACTCTCGCTCGCAGCGACGTCCCTCGCCGCCGCGTAGTCGACATGACGACTCGGACTCGGATGATGGACTCGCCTATGGCAACAATCCTGGCTCGCACCCAAGTTATGCCCGTCCCAGCCGGTACCAATACGCGCAGCCAGCAGCCAACTACCCGCCTCCTCAGCCTCAGCAGAAACCCCAACCCTCTGACTGGGCTCCTATCCCAGAGTGTGAGCGCCCAGGATTCGTTCCGCCAACCTCGCTACCTCCCGTCTCATCCGAAATGCCAGGCGCCTTCCCGCCGAGCTCGAGCTATGTTGAGAGTCCCGCGACGAGCGCACCGTCTTCCCCATGCCGCAGTATGCGGGTGCTCCGTCGACGCAGCCGCTCCCATATTCCTCGGGCGGAGGCTATTCGCAGTCGCATTATCGCACTGCCTCGGCGAGTGATGTCTCGGTATCGCAGGCCGGGTATGCCCAGCCAGGTCAATTCCAGTATGCGCAGGTTGACCCCAATGTGCGCTATACTTCCAAGACTACGCCGACGAAACCTTATACTGCCTCGGCGCAGGAACAGTTTGGCCGACAGCCTGAGCAGTATAACAGATTGCCGGACCAGCATCGTAGACTGCCGGATCAGTATAGCAACAAAGTGCCAGAACAGCCTGCCTGGCGATATAGTCATGACCCTCAGTTCGGCGATAGACAGCAGTCCCACGCATCTTCGCAATCGCAATCGCACTCGCATTCGCACTCTCGCTCTCAGTCGCAGTTGCAATCGCAGCCACCGACGCAATTGTCGGCTCCGCTCCAGCACCAGCAGCAGGTTGTGGAGATCACCCCCGGTGGTGGACGCGGCCGTCCCCACAGTCTATCTGTGTCGTCAGCGAACAATCTGGCCGTCGCCGTGCCTGGAGGCCATATCGGCCACCCACCTGCCAGTCCATTGCTGGAGCCGTATCATGGCACCTATCAATCGATGTCGCCTATGCCATCACCCATCATGATGCCATTGCGTGACGACGAAATATCAGACCTAGAGCCTCTGGACGGCGGCAGCTCACTTTCCGAATCTGGAAAGCGTAAGAAGAAATCCTCATCCTCCCGCGAGAAGGAGAAGGAAAGAGAAAAAGACAGCCGGCACCGCAGCAGCAAGGAGAAGATGCGAGAGAAGGAGCGTGACCGCGACTACGACCGCGACTACGACCGCGACGACCGCAAAGAAGACAGAAGACGCACAACCAGACCATCCGCCCACGACCGCCACGACTCAACCTCCTCCTTCCGCGGCGGCGATAACGACAGCGTAGTCCTAATATCCCCAACAACCGGCCGCAAGCGCGTCTCCTTCTACGACGCCACATCCGACGCCTTAACAATGCAATCAGCGCTCAACCACACGCGCAACATCGACAACAAAGCCATCCTCTCCGTCCTCCCCCGCCTAACATCCGACGAAATCCTCACCCTCCGCGCCGAGTATAAGAACAAAGTAAAAATGCACGGCAAAGGCATCAACCTCGCCAAACACCTCCGCCTCAAACTCGGCACCTCTTCCTTCGGCAAAGTAGCCTACGCCACCGCCCTCGGCCGCTGGGAATCAGAAGCCTACTGGGCAAACTGCTACTACCAAGCCGGCACCTCGCGGCGCGAACTCCTCATCGAGTCGCTAATCGGGCGGTCCAACGCCGCCATCCGCGAGATCAAAAATTGCTTCCGTGACAGTCGTTACGAGAATAGTCTCGAGCGGTGCATGCGGGCCGAGCTGCGCGCGGATAAATTCCGGGTCGCGGTTTTGCTGGCGCTTGAGGAGAGGAGGCAGGAGGAGCGCGATCCGATTGATTCCAGGCTTGTGAGGGAGGATTTGACGGATCTGCATCGTGCGCTGGTTAGTCGGGAGGGGGGCGAGACGGCTATGATTCATATCATTGTGAAGCGGAGTGATGCGCATCTGCGTGAAGTACTGCGCGCTTATGAGAGTGTTTATGGGCATAATTTTGCCAGGGCTATGATTGCCAAATCGAAGAATTTGGTGGTAAGTTTTCGTCTGCGTCTAGTTTATGCTTTGCTACCCCTCCTCTTCGCCTTCCCCTCTCTTGCTCTGGTATTATTTATGGGCCTTGCTAATAACAACAGGGTGAAACACTAGCCCATATTCTAAACGGCGCGATAAACCGGCCCATGCGCGACGCGCTACTGCTGCACCAAGCTCTCCGTGAATCCAGGACGAAAGGTGAACGGTCTGAATTGCTCATTTCTCGACTTGTCCGCCTGCACTGGGAGCCTAGGCACCTTGAGCTGGTTAAGACTGAGTATCGGAGGAGATATAATGAGCGTCTGGAGGAGGCGATTGCGGAGGAGATTATGTCTTCGACGACTGGGGCCGAGTGGGGGGGAGTTTTGTATTGAGTTGGCTAGGAGCTCTAGTTGATTTAGATTCAACATTACCAGTGGGGTTGGCTTTTCTTCTTGTGATTTGGTTTGGATGTGGTAATGCGGTAATGTATAAAGTGCAGTACACAAAGGACTACCTAGGTACATAATGGACTTATGTAGTATTTATCTTTTCGTGTGCAATATCTACCTAGGTGGCCTCCATCCCAGCACCAGCATCAGCAATACCCCACGCCCCACCTGCTACGAGTGGAGCTGGACCACCTATAAATTTAAATCCACCACCTGGACCAACGCCCCCACCAGGCAGTCCCCAAGGCGGAAACCAAGGCCATGTTGCAGCCCAGTAAGCCGGAGGAACAATGCCTGGAGCAGCAACCATAGAAGGATATTCGTGCGCATTCCGTTTATCAACCGCCGGCAATTGAGACGTGAGCCTAGTAGCGTTCTCACTGAGATCAAGCTCCCCGTTCTTATCCGGCGCAGCCCCCGTATACATAATTCTGCGCAACCACGGCCCACTAAGTCTAGGAATGCCCGGCGGCATATTACCCGGCAAAAGGGCGACTTGGATAACCCGCCAAGGTTCAGTCAAGTTGTGTAATTGGCCCAGTTGATCGTGCCATCGCAGATTGACCTGAAGGGCTCAAGTGGGGAGCACCATCATCCGATCCACGGAGTGGAAGGCGCAGTAGTCCCAAAAGGGAACGCGGAGGTCATTGGCGCGTTCACGGATTTGGATTATATCTTGTTCACTTAATAGGGCCATGTCGGAGCCTGTGTCGTCTAGGACTTTGATTCCTTTCCCGGCTGAGCCCGCCGCGAGCTGGAGGTCCCTCGCTCCTGGGCATCGGAAAACATATGACATCTAGACAGGCTTCAGTATTCTGAAATCTTTATACCTAGGTGCCTACTAGGTCCACGGGTATAAAACGACTTTAGGTATTTATACCACATGGTGACCCCACCTTAATAATCTTTTCGAATCAAGAGGTTCCGGCTTGTAGAGTTGCTTCCCATTCGACCAAAATGTAACCTTATCCGTGTGCCAGACCAAGACCCTCTTCCTGTATGCGGTGAGGAGAAAATGCACATTGCTAAGAGCATTCTGCGGGTCGCCTTCTTTCTCCAAATAGGCTTTTATTATCTCGAGGGTCTTCACCCGAGCAGCTGTATTGACATCGAGACCTGGCTCCTTATGTCAATGACACGCGTTCAAGTTAGAATATAAACCACTGGCATGAAAATGATTGAAGCTGCTAGTGGAGTCATCGCTGGGTGAACCAACCGAATTTATCTGCCCGTCTTTTATTTTCTTCCACGACGTTTAGGTTTCCAATTTCTTCGTCCACCATTGTGGTATGATGCCGTCATTAATCCGATCGTTACATCTTTGAATGACGGCTTCAATATTGCTGGCGAAAAGAAAGTTATCTCAATTAGTACGCTTTCGATGAGATGGGCTGGTGGGGATCTGCGCACTTATCGTCGATATAGTCCTCTGGATCCCAGTCTTTAGGACAGTCTTCATATTTTGTAATGGGATTTGCACCTCGGTTCCATCGGACAAATGGGGGGAACATTTTGTAGTCCGATATCTACACCATCAGGGAGCTCTGACATTATGGTGGTAAATGGCGAAGAATACTAGTAATAGCGGGCCTATAGAACGGAATTCAACCTCGAAAGTTCACACCGGCACTTCTTGGGTTGTTCGGAGACAAAAAAACTACTAGTACTAGGAGTATTTATATGCCCTAGTATATAATTGCAACTCGAAGTGAACTTGAATCGAGGGTCAAACAAAGAAGGAACAGAACTGTCTATTGGAGCTTAGAGTCAGGCTTTTGGTATTATATACAACTTGAAAGAAACCGAAGACAAGATTTCGAAATGGTTCCAAGGTTATAATGAATGAAAGGAGGAAGTATGAGGTTTGCTAAAGTGCATTCTACATTCAAAGAGGGAGGGTCTGTGCGTTTTTTGGGCCATATTTTCAGCCTTGAGATATTTCGAAAATAGGGATACCGAGGATTTTCAAGGATGACACTGAGTATGCAAAAGAAAGACCAGTCTGTCAGTACGGATGGGCTCGTCTCTTCCAAAGCGGCTTGTTGAACTTTAAAATTCATGCATAATGAGAGAATATCATCCCTTTGCTCGAGGCGGACATTAAATGACTCATTCGGTAGCGAGCCGAGCTCATGGCTAGCTCGTGCTACTCATCTGCATAAATACATGCAAGAGGTGATCGGGTTCTGCATGATGCACTAGTTCAAACTTCTCTCTAGGAAGTGGTGGAGTACCTACGTTGGTTTGGTACATATGTAGGCTGTATTAGGCAAGGGGGGTTATTCTGCATATTTGAGACAAAGCCGTGGGGGTCAGTTTCTTTGACATGGTTATGGTAGCCGGTGGGCTCTATCTTGAATTTCAGATAGACCATTCTCGCTCCTAGGACGAACCTATTCCCCCATTACTTGTCCCCGCCGTGATCTATGGGCTGTGTTCCGTAGGTGAGGATATCTCGCACCTTTCGGGGTTTCCACAATCACACCTGGGCAGGCAGTGCATAAAAGGCAGATTGTGAGCAAAAACACCGTGACTGAGAGGGAAGCTAGATATGTCACTTATTGGCTCTTGGGAACCTTGGAATAGATAGGCAACTTGGATATAAAATACATTATCAGGAGTTAGGGCAGCATCCTTTTCCATGGGGTTTCCTAGGGGTCGACATATGAGAGTTTGGAAATAGAGAGCTATTGGTGTTTTAATTGCGCCATTTTCTAATACAGCAGCTGAAAAGGACTAGTTTTCGAGGATTTTGACCAAACATCAAATACCACTCGCCACTGGGGGCTCTTACAAATGTTGATGAGGAAGACAAGACTTGTTCCGCAATTCTTAAACTATTAGAATCTGGCAGATATACCCGGAATGAAGCAACCGAAGAACTGCCTCGAACAGTACATGCCCAGGTGGTGAGGATATGATAAGGATAGTAAACACTAGGCACCACCCGTGGACCTTCACTCTTACTAGTATTTGGAATTTATGGTGACATCGTTTCGAAGGTTGGAGAACTGTATTAAAAGCCAGGATATTGAGCGTGCAACCCCTGCGTTATGGTAGTAAGACTACCACTAGTAGTAGTAGTAAATGCAGGTCATTCAAGTGGCGCTCGGAAGAAACCGCTACATTCGACATTGCTGGTAGATAGTGCCATGATTTGTGGGTTATGCGTGGTCCTGTAATCAAAATTAAAATAAGTCGATTATTGTAAAGTAGGAGTGTTGCTAGTATTTAGTATACTCTGTGCTTCAATGGTGGATGTTACATCGCCCTTCAGCCACACCCGCTTCTCTCTCTACTCTCTCCGCTCCTCTTTCACCAAATTGTTCAGCTCGCGGGGAGCAAACTCCATCCGGACTTAGACCCGTGATGAGGAGATTGCAATATGACGACCTCACGGCTTCCTCTACCCCCGAGCAGCGCTCTTCACCGTATCTCACGAGACCCGCAAGGACCCCCAGGCACCCCGCCAATAAGAAATGGATCGGCACCCCGGAGTCCAACCACGTCCTTTGTACTCCGTCCCTCCAGAACAACCTGCAGTCCAATGAGATGAACGTGGGCCACGCGACTCTCGTCACACTGCAGATGCGGTGTCCTGGTGAATCGAGGATGTACGGAGTACTTGGTACTCCCTACAATTAACAGGGAAATCAAATCCACGATCCCTCCCGCCATCTCGAAAGCTGACGCGTAAGGAGAGAGCCCCCCTGCAAGGTCTGCAAGGGGACTGACTGTGATTTGAACACTCTTGAAGCCATGAAGATCCAGACTTGATCCACTTCTGCAGGTCCCCGCGTTCGTTGTTCGTTCAAGTTTCCGACTCGATTCGTTCGCCATGAAGTCGTGCTGGGCCACGATCACCCCCCTTCCCCACAGATTGTCGGGCATCACTCCGTAGGGCTGATTTGCTGGCACGAAACCCTACTTCCAATGGTTTGGTCGAGTGCCGAAGTGTCGCATGATGGCATCACGCCTCGCACCTTCCCCAGTGGATGCCATGCATGAAGAGTAAGGTCACTCTCTCCGCATCGCCTCCAAATTTCCACCAACAACCAACATCTAATATCCAACACCCAGCATCCAACATCCCTGTTGGACCACACTCGTTTTCTCCACATCTTTATTTGCGCCATCCCGTGTGCTCAGTCACCCGGGCGCTCACCAAGCCTCAGTCCCTCCGCCTCTTTCCTCGTCGGCGTGTTGATTCCGCATAGACCGCTGCTTGTTTCCATACAACTGAGCGTTGTGAAGTAGCCGAGATTTCGGATTTTGGATTTCGGACCCAATATCTTCGAGCTTTCTCCAGACTCCCAGGTAAAGCCCCATTTTCCACAGATTGATTCTGTCCTCGAACCTATCACGATCTCCTATTTGCACCCCCCCTGCATCCGCTATTCCTCCCTTGCCATATGGCCGAAATGAGTGCATGAGATCGATTTCTGTACTTGGGCACTGACACTGATCAGCCGACTCACACGCTCGGAATTTGTTACCACATGCACGTCTACTGCATTTTGGAATCATGCTCCCCATAGCGCTAAACCTCTTTCCATCGTGACCGTGGGGTGAAGTGAACATTCTGGCATGCGGGACCGTGTCGGTTTGGTCAGTTTGGCCAGCTTGGCTGGCGTTGCCCCCTAGTCTGGTAGAGTGGACCTCAACTATAAAAATGTCCCTGGCATTCCGGTAAACAAACGTCGATCCTTTCCCTGCACTGCTCTGTCAGAATCGACAATATCTGCAGCTCTGGGCCCGCGGTTGCTTTTTCCTTCCTTAACCTACCGTCGACACTAATCCCTACACTAATAAAGGACTCGCTCCTTGGTTGATCGTTTCGATCCCGTCCAATCCTTTGTCGCCAAACTCACTGTCATCATGCAGCTGTTACGCCTCGTTCTTCTAGTTGCTTCTTTTGCTGGCTCTATCGGAGCTGTCTCTACGTTTTCACCTGCTCGACCCCCATCTCTACCACTTGCTGTCAAGTCACCATACCTGAGTACCTGGCAGAACGCCGGTAGTGATGGCGGAAATGGTGGATACCTCGCTGGTCAGTGGCCTACTTTTTGGCAGTATGTTCCTCTGGCTCGCTTTTCTCTCACTTTTCTCCGATGCGGTTTTTCTAACAAAGTCTCGAATAGGAACCAAATTACCGGTTGGGCTGGTCTAATCCGAGTCGATGGCCAGACCTACACCTGGATGGGGTTGCCCGGCACGAACACTGTCAATCAGACTGGTTTCGAGTACACTTCTACCAAGAGCATCTTTACGATGAATGTTGCGGACAAACTGGAGATGAACATTACATTCCTTTCGCCTATTACTCCAGCTGACTACCGACGCCAATCCCTTGTTTTTTCTTACTTGAATGTTGAGGTTGCCTCTTTGGATGGAAATGAGCATGAGGTGCAGGTCTACGCGGATATCTCAGCCGGTAAGTCGACCACAACTTTCCCTTTATCTTATATCCGTGGCACGTCTGATTAATTTAACACAGAGTGGGTATCTGGTGACCGTAATGCAATTGCCCAATGGGATTACGGCACCACCGACGAGGTTGCTTACCATAAGGTCTACCGTCAGACTCAGCTGGCATTTTCCCAGAACAACGAGCAGGCCGAGTGGGGCTATTGGTATTGGGCAACTGATGTTGATAACGACATGACGCACCAGTCTGGAGTAGATGTCGATGTTCGTGGTCAGTTCTCGAACAAAGGTGTTCTTTCCAACACCGCGGACACCAATTACCGCGCCATTTCGGACAAATGGCCTGTCTTTGCCTTTTCATACGACCTT